CGGAAACTGGAGGATTTGACAACTTCACTGACGTGTGGTTTCCAATTTAGTTTGTTGTCTATGGTGACGCCGAGGAGCTTCGTGGAATCTACAACCTGGAGTGTGTTCGGACCTAAAGTAATGGAAGGAGGTGGGACAATGTCGGAGGAGAGGTTGATGTGTATAACCATGGTCTTGGTATGGTTGATGGTGATATGGTTGTTGGTGGCTCAGTTTTGGAGACTGTTCAATAAATCCTGAAGGGCGGCATAGTCGGGAGCAGAATTGTTGACGCTGATCCCAATGGTGGAGTCGTCTACATATTTCCAGTGAGCAGGGGTTTCTCTTAGGGCATCAATGATGAGCATAAGGAAGCAGAGTGGTCCCATCTTGGTGCCTTGGGGGACGCCACAGGTGAGTGACTGAAAGATGGAAACAGCCCCTCAGAAGCGTACAGCTTGGCGTCGGTCACTGAGGAAGTCTGTAAGCCATGGTATAAGACTTCTCCGAAGCCCGAGGTCAATAGCTTTGTTGATGATTATATTGTGGTCGACTTGGTCGAATGCTTTAGTGAAATCAATGAAGGCGACAGCTACAGACGTTTTTCGTTTCTCGAGATGGCGGAATATGTAATCGAGAAAACTGACAAGACAGTGAGTGGTGGAGGAAGTTTCATATTGCCAAATTGCTGAGGGTCTACGACTCCTGCAATATCAGCATAAGCCCAGTCGAACACAAAACTTTCACAGATTAGGCTGGGTATTGGGGTGATTGCAATAGGTCGTAGCTGATTTAAGGATTGTGGGCTGGTTGACTTGGGCACTGGTGATACATAAGAGGTCTTCCAGTCAGCTGGGCATCTGGCTTGACTGAGAGAAGCATTGATGATGGAGCATAGGGGTTTAGCAAGCTCCGGGGAGAACTCCTTGAAGAGTTTCATTGGTAAGTCAATGGGGGTGATAGAGCGTTTTAATTTTAGTTTGTCCAGGCGTTTTGCTACTTCAAATTCTTCTACTAAGTCAGTGGGAAGGGGGGCTGGTAGGTAAGCAGGGAGAGTGGTTGTGTCAAGCCGGGGGAGCGTCTGGCATATAGTAGCGAAATGGTTATTTGATTGCTCAGCTGCGTCAACATTAGTGAGATGGCTAAGGAAGGGGAGGGGGTGTGTCTTATTGTTTAGTCCACAGAGTTCTTTAAGCTTACCATACCATTGACTGATGTTGGTCTGCTTCAGGTGTTGTAATTTGGTTGGGTAGTGGGACTTCTTTGCAGTGCGTATTTCGCGGATGACTCGGTTGCGAAGGGACCTGTAGCGGATGTGGTCATTGAGATGAAAGGCTCTGTCTCTCTGTTGCATAAGTCTTTTGATCCGAGGTGTGATCCAGGGCAAGTCAGCTGGGTGAGATCTGACGGACTTCTCGGGGAAGAAGTGGTGGTGAGCTTCCGTGGTGGTGTTGGTATAATTTATCCATTTGGTTTCCACGTCATCCACGCTAAGTACTTCAGTCCAGGGATGGTGAACTATCCACTGCCCGAAGAGGCGCACTGCAGAGTCAGTAATCGGCCTGTAGGTCTTGATGTAGGGTCTCTGTACTTGAGTGGGAGTGGCAGCTGGGGACCAGAGCACTGATAAGTGTGTGCTACACCCGATAGGAGGCATTGGTTGAGGTGGTTGGTACTGGTCCGCTAAGTCAGTTAAGATAAGGTCAAGGGTATTTTGACCGTGTGTGGGGAAGTTCACAACTTGTGATAGTGATAGCTGGTCCTGGATATCAGTGGTGTCAATTTCATTATAATCCCCACATAATACTAACTTGGCACATGGGTACCTGACTCTGAGGTGGTCTGAGGTGGTAATGAGATGATTGATAAGAGTGTCTCTGGTGGGTGAGCGAGGCGGATGGTATGCCACACAGATTATGATGGAAGCAGTGTGGCGCGGGTGGGCCCGTGGCACAACACGTACCCATAATGCTTCCACATCTGCTGGGACTTGAACATCCAGGCGTGACGGGCGTAGGTCATCTTGACAGAAGAGGGCAACGCCCCCTCCGCGTCTATGTGAACGAAGGTGATGAAAGAGTTGATATCCCTCAATATGACACGTTTCAGGCACAATTTGCCAAGCCTCACATATGGCAACGACGCTCGCGGCGGCTGACCTGACTGTAGCTGCCAGCTCGTCAAACTTGTTAGCTAGGGAAGTGACGTTGGATAGCAGTAGAGACGGGAGATCATACCATATCCGTGCTGTATGTGTCCATGATGCGGTGATAATTTTGGTGATTCATATTGTTTATGTTTTTATCGGTAATGACCACAATGTGTGAGACAACAATAACAACACGAAGAAGAGGAAGAGGAAGAAGAAGAAAAAGAAGAAGAAGAAGAAGAAGAAGAGGAAGAAGAAGAAGAGGAAGAGGAAGAAGAGGAAGAAGAAGAAGAAGAAGAAGAAGAAGAAGAAGAACGTTCCCTTGTTCATCTTCACCATTAATTAAACACTACACCGTCACAACTCACAGCTTATCACACAGACCCCTGGCAGGAGGTGACTGTGTGAGGGGTGGAGTACCTACAGTGACAGGGGTGACACCAGATCACCTTGGGACCTGTCTCTTCTTCACCCTAGAGAGAGAAGGGAGAGAGAGAGGAGGGAGACACAACGGAAGTCTTAGTATGTTGGTGGTGATGATGTCATCCCTCATTCGCACCTTACCTCACACACACTCACTTTCTTCTCTCTTTCCTTCTCCATGTTCCTTCGTCTTTCCCTCTATTGTCTCTCTCCCTTTCTCCCTCTTTCCTTCCCCATGTATCCATCCTTCCTCATCCCTTCTTTACTTCCCCTTTCATCGTTTTCTTCCCTCCCTCCTTCCCCCTCCCTCATCCACTCTCCCTCCGCTCTCATCGTGGGAATCCCAGGCAAGACGAGTACCGGTACCCAAATTACTCTCACTTTCTAGAAGGACACAGAAGGGGAGTGGGGTGGGGTGGGATGGGGTGGGTGGGCCAGGTTTGGTATGGTTGGGGTGAGACTGGGTGAGGTGGGGAGGGTTGGGGGCGGAGGTAGGGTATGATTGAGGAAGAACAGGATGTGGGGGTAGGATTGGGAATGGTTGGGGAGGGGCAGGGTGAGGTAAGGTATGGTTGGGGAGGGCAGGATGAGGTAAGGTATAGTTGGGGAGGACAGGGTGAGGTAGGGTATGGTTGGGGGAGGGGCAGGGGTGAGTGGGGGGGGGTATGGTTGAGGAGGGACAAAGAGGGCAGGGTAAGACATGGTATAGAACTATGATGAGAGAGAACTCGTGTAAGACGGGGAGGAGGTTAGAGGGCAGAAACACAAAAGTAATCATTGTCCTACACGTAAAGACTAAATTGTGTTCCCTTCCTCCTTCACACTCTGCAAAGGTGTGTGTGTGTGTGTGTGTGTGTGTGATTTATACAAATATACTTGAGACCTTGATTTAAGAATTTCCTATGTTAATGATGAGGAAAGTGAAATTCCTTTGTTTAGGGCTGCTGCTGCTGTTGCTACTGCTGCTGCTGTTGCTTGCTGCTACTGCTGCTGCTGCTGTTACTACTGCTGCTGCTGCTGCCTGCTGCGGCTACTGTTGCTACTACTGCTGCTGCTGTTGCTACTGCTGCTGCTGCTGTTGCTACTGCTGCGGCTGTGCTGCTGCTGCTGCTACTGCTGCGGCTGTTGCTGCTGCTGCTACTAACTGCTGCTGCTACTACTGCTGCGGCTGTTGCTGCTGCTGCTAATGCTGCTGTTGCTACTGCTGCTACTACTGCTGCGGCTGTTGCTGCTGCTGCTACTACTGCTGCGGCTGTTGCTGCTGCTGCTAATGCTGCTGTTGCTACTGCTGCTGCTACTGCTGCGGCTGTTGCTGTGCTGCTGCTACTGCTGCGGCTGTTGCTGCTGCTGCTACTGCTGCGTATTTGCTGCTGCTGCTGCTACTTGCGCGGCTGTTGCTAGCTGCTGCTAAACTGCTTTTGCAGCTGCTGCTGCTACTTTGCTGCGGCTGTTGCTGCTGCTACTTACTACTGCTGCGGCTGTTGCTGCTGCTAACTGCTGCTGTTGCAACTGCTGCTACTACTGCTGTAACTACTGCTGCGTGGCTGTTGTTCTGCTGCTGCTGAATGCTGCTGCTGGCTACTGCACTGCTGCGGCTGTTGCTGCTGCTGCTACTGCTGCGGCTGTTGCTGCTGCTGCTACTACTGCTTGCGGCTGTTGCTGCTGCTGCTAATGCTGCTGTTGCTACTGCTGCTGCTGCTGCTGTGCTACTGTTGCTGCTGCGGCTGTTGCTGCTGCTGCTAATGCTGTTGTTGTACTGCTGCTGCTACTGCTGCGGCTGTTGCTGCTGCTGCTGCTACTGCTGCTGCTGCTGTTGCTGCTGTTGCTGCTGCTAATGCTGCTGTTGCTACTGCTGCTGCTAATGCTGCTGTTGCTACTGCTGCTGCTACTGCTGCTGCGGCTGTTGCTGCTGCTGCTAATGCCTGCTGTTGCTACTGCTGCGGCTGTTGCTGCTGCTGCTGCTACTGCTGCGGCTGTTGCTGCTGCTGCTAATGCTGCTGTTGCTACTGCTGCTGCTACTACTGCTGCTGCTACTGCTGTTGCTGCTGCTACTACTAGGATCACTACTACCACCACCAATAGAGGGCCCTCCATACCTGCCTATTGTGCACACCTTATCCCCGTGACCTACATATAGCTACCAAGACTAAGGTGGCCCCCGGTGTCTGGTGTCTCATTGTTTGCCGTCCCTCTTCGTCACCTGCCACTGAAGGACACTTAATTTACTTTCTCGTGATGAAAAATCCTTGACACTTTTTTGTTTTGTTTCTGCCTTGTGTGTCTGTAGCAGCTGGCTCATAAGGTGTGTTATTGTAGAGGGAGTTCAAGATGGCAGGTTTGACGAGGTGTGTGAGTGATGGTGACCTAACATCAACAGGGGATCACCTACCTGAAGGTCGTCTCTCCCTTCTTCAGAAACTTGAGACCATAGTTGGTGAGGTTATAAGGCGGCTGGTGAGAAGCAGGACGTTACTTCACCTCCTTCAGCACCTCAGAGACCATCTGCGTCACCTCTCACCATCGTCGTCGTCATGAAGAATTGTCTCGTCGGTAAGAATCGGACTCTGTCAGGGTCTTCCGCTTGTGTGAACTGCTTCTTTTTTCATTGACTTATATGTTCTTAAGTACTTATTGCTCTCGCAACTTGAAGATTATGAAGAGTTATGAAATATTACTGCTACCGGGTGGATGGTCATATAGGGAACGTATGATGGTAATATGTTGGTTTATTTAGTTTCTCTGAATGATTTTATTAGAGAGTTCATCTCTCTCTCACTGTCCCCCAGCACTCGTCCTGGTGGGGCTGGCCTCCGCCCTGCCTGGTGTTCGCCACCGCCGTGACTCCTTCCCTTTCCTGTTCGAACTTCCTTCCGACGCTGAACTGGTCCTGGGAGGGATCCAGACGGGTTTCGACTGTGCTAATCTGCCCTACGGTTACTACGCCGACGAAGCCAACAACTGCGCCATCTACCACGTGTGTCTCCCATACATCGACAACAACATCGTGGTGACCCGCCACTTCTCCTTCATGTGTGGCGAGGGCACCGTCTTTGACCAAGAGCATCTCGTGTGTGCCACCCCCGAGAACGCCAGCCCCTGTAGCCAGTCCTCCTCCTTCAGGAGGTCTAACGAGTACTTTGGCCGCACAGATATTGGTTTCCTGGAGAAGTAGAATGTCAGCAACAGTTCCGACGGAGAGGGCGAAGAACACTAGCAATGACCTCCTGAGAGCCGTCTGAGGACCTCCAAGTCTCATGCATTTACGTGAATGTCTCTGAGAAGAGCTGAAGTGAGGGACTTGGGACTCTCACCAGTCAGACTGTAGTTGTAAATCATTGATCATCGCAGTATTATACATTCTTCGTTGCCAACCTTACACTTATGACACACACACACACACTGTATGAATCTGTAACACAGCTCGGTTAGGAACAGACAATACAGATGATTCAATAACTGTAAATTTTCCTTCATAAAATTTATGTATCGTAATGTAAGATTCAAAGTTGATATTAAATCCTTGAGCATAACTAACGCGTCTTTTTTAAACACTATGAACCAAACCAACTTCCAAGTGAGAAAAAATTGACAAGATTCTCGGCCATTAAGAGTTCGTCAATCACTTGCTGGGGTTAAGACCGGATCATGCCAATGTAAATAAGAAAGTGAATTAATGCGAGGAAGAAGACGTATTTACATGTCAAGGATAGTTACTGTATAATCTTGTCTGTGTTCACTCAAAAGCAAGATCTATTCAAATGGTGTTTCTTCCTTAACTCTCTGTTCTGCCACACTGTGTTCTGCCACACTGTGTTCTGCCACACACTGTTCTGCCACACTGTGTTCTGCCACACTGTGTTCTGCCACACACTCCTGCCACAGTATTCTGCCACAGTACTCTGCCACAGTACTCTGCCACAGTACTCTGCCACAGTACTCTGCCTCAGCAATCTGCCACAGTAATCTGCCACAGTAATCTGCTACAGTAATCTGCCACAGGTGAGTTTAAACTTAACAAAATCTTGTGACAAATGACGTCACTCAGCCACCAAATGCCCTCGAAAGGTGATACAGGGTGTTAGGCAAGACAGTGCTAAGCAACCCTGACCATAGAAAGAGTATATGAACGTGTTGTCGCCATAGGATCCCGGACCTTACTTGCAATACCTGTCCTGGTAAGTCGGTGACGGGGCCGAGACAGAGCTATGAGTCGGTCTGTGAGACGGGGCTGAGACAGTCTAGACGAGACTCTAAGACGGGGCGACGGGGCTGTAACACGGGGGCTATGAGACGGTCCAGACGGGGCTGAGACGAGGCTCTGAGACGGGGCTGTGAGACGGTCGAGACGGGGTTTGGGGGAAGATGGGAAGAGCAGCGCCCAGTGACTTTCAGTAAGGTTGAAAGACGCCGAAGGATAGATGATAAATATAGAGTAACAGTATACCGGGAGGAGGCGAGAGGAAGGAGCGGGAGGAGGTGAGAGGAAGGAATGGGAGGAGGTGAACACGTCACTAGGAACGAGTGGGCTCAAAATACACACACAAACACACACACACACGTTCCCTCATGGTGTTGTGGCCTCATTAACCTACCTATGAAGAAAACTGTAACTAATTCTCGTTGTATACACAGTTAGAACCCCGCATCAGAGAGAGACAGTGCATGAGAGAGTTGGAACCCATGTAATTGTTATATAATCATCTCCTCCGGCTTGTTTATGGTATTTAGTGATAGCTGTTCCTCTGGTCGACTGATAGACCCACCACAGCTACACAAACACTCGTGGTGGTCAGGCAGGTGAAGTCAACCTCACGTGACACACCAGTAGAGTATTTGAAGCATCTGTCCCGAACCTTTGTACATTAAGAGTATTACGGATGATAAACATATACTGTACCATATTATGTGGCAGGTATTACTAATGGTGTCGTGTTGTGTTGTGTTGTGTCGTGTTGTGTTGTGTTGTGTGATGAAGGCTTCCTTAATACACAGCCTTGAGCCCATAATAACCTGCTCCTTATACCCTTTAGTCTCTGTTGGTCATAAATCTTTACCAATAATGAGCTTAAAAGGGTGAGGTCACATCTTTCAGGAGGCTTAGGATGTGACCTCAAACAACCCGGATCATGAGGTCAAGGAAAGACTCTCCAGGAGGAATGAGTTATAGACCAAGAGATGAGCCTCAATGGTAGAGAGACTTGAGATACGGGGAAGAGACTTTACTAAGAGGCGAAGTCCGTGCAGTAAATAACCATGAACTTAATGTTATCTTTATCTCTTGACATAACGAAAATGACATGACTTATTAATCTCTAAAACACATCCTCCTAAGTACACTCTCCTCCCTGACCATAACCACTCACCAAAACAAAACTCTCTCAACTACGACCACAGACAACGACTCATTCTACCCAAGAGCAAAGTTCCCCTACGACCACCCAGCTTCATACAATAATAAAAAACAAACAATACTTTCTTCACTGTTACCACCCCCTTCCCCTCCTCCCCCATTATCCCCTTCCCCCCACTATCCCCTACCCCTCTATCCCCCTACCCCCCTTCCCCTCCTCCCCATTATCCCTTCCCTCCTTCCCATTGTCCCTTCCACTATCCCTACCCCCCTATCCCCCCCCCCCCTTCCCCTCCTCCCCATTGTCCCTTCCCCACTATCCCCCACCCCCACCATCAACATCTCCATACATACCGAGCGGTCTGGTCCATTCTACTCACCACTAAAGTCCCTTACGACAATAACCCCCTTTTCCTGCCCTACGTCCCTTAGTTGGGGTAGGTGAAGGGGTTAAGGGGAGGTGGTTAAGGGGGAACCTCTCACCTAAGTACATGAACAGGTGATGGACAAGGGGAGGGAGGCTGGCAGGCGGATCGTTCAAGTTCTTTGTGTTGATGCTGATGGCAGGAAGATGAACGGGGGCCGTGGGAGAGGTGTGCGGTGTGGGTGGGACGTGACGAAGGACGACACGAGAGGAAAGGAGAGAAAAAAGATTATGGGGAATAGAACATATAAAGAGAAAGCAACAAAAGACATACATACACATACATACATACACATACATACATACATACATACATACATACTGTACAAAAAACTCAGGGAAATAACGTACACAAAATAATTCTTTAAGTCTTGTTAAACTACACAAAGACCGGATAATATTATAAAATAAATGCTTAACCCAAGGCAGTACTTAAACCATCGTCATCAAAGGGTTAAACCATCGTCATCAAAGGGTTAAACCATCGCTAAGTAGTTTCGTTATGAGATGACGTCATATAATAACAAGGGGGACTGTTGTTTATATAATAACTGAACTACCAAGGCAACATGTCGTCTTAACCATTAGATAAAGAAAGAGATAGTAATACAAAGAGAGAGAGAGAGAGAGAGAGAGAGAGAGAGAGAGAGGACAGAAAAATAGACAAATTTCAAGTAAAGATACAAACAGAACGTGGTGATACTGTGAAGGTGAACACACACACACACACACACACACACACACACACAACACCAACATACACATGCACACACACACACACACACTCATAATTTATTATAGTTCTCCTTAAAAAATACGAACATTTTCTTCCATTCATTCTCTTTTTTTTTATGTCCTTAAGAAAACACGTATCTGTTTTTAATAATAGTGTACCATTAAGAAACATTAAAGTCCCTTCTTTAAAAAAAATGTAAAATAGAATATGAAAAATAGATAAATAAATAAATACACATATATAGGTAATGTAGAGGAGGACTGGGACGGGAGTGTGTGTGAGAGAGGTGGGTGTTGTGTGTGGGGTAAGAGAGGTGGGTGTTGTGTGTGGGGTAAGAGAGGTGGGTGTTGTGTGTGGGGTAAGAGAGGTGGGTGTTGTGTGTGGGGTAATTATTGACCATTGGACAGTTTCTTATTTATTACAAGATGGACATAATAGTACACGGTGTGCTGACTGGGGAACGAGATGACAGTATCTTAAAATTACTCCGTTTGTTTAGTATAAAGCTCAAGTCAAATTCAGAGTTGGTATTCGGTGCCTGGTCGTCATCCTCGCCGTAGTCGTCATCAGGAGGTCGTCATTCTTGCCGTAGTCGTCATCAGGAGGTCGTCATTCTTGCCTCCGTTGGGTAGGTTGTGGCTTAGTGCTCCTAGCTTCTACTCGTTGAAGTTAACATTCTCTCGGCCGAAGTATTCGTTGACATTCCTGAAGGCGGTGGATTCGGAGCAAGGAAGCGCCTCCTCGGGGGTGGCACACACGAGCTGCGCCTGGTCGAAGACTGTGCCCTCCCCACAGAAGAAGGAGAAGTGTCTCTCGGCAACCACGCCGAAGCTCTGGGTGGGGAGACACACGTGGAAGATAGCGCAGTCGTTGGCCTCGTCGGCGTAGTATCCGTAAGGTAGATCATTGCAATCGAAGCCCGTCTGGATGTCACCCACGATGAGGGAAGCGTTGGACGGCAGATCTAGAAAGAAGGGCGTGGAGTCGCGACGAACGCGTGGGAAAGCGGCAGCCACGCCCACCAGTACCAGTGCTGTCGACAGAGAACACCAGGAATTCGATAGATTACACACACAAACAAACACAAGAGATAAAAAAAACACAGAGCAAACGTTCCATATAAACAAAGAAAACTTATATAGACCCGAAACCACGAGACCTACTCACCTAAGGCCAGGTTCTTCATGGTGTTGTAGTGACGGAGGCGGCGAAGGAGGAGGAGGAAGAGGAGATAAGTTGTGCTATGTTGTAGCAACGAGAATGGACTGTGTGGTCATCCAGCGGCGATGAGGGGTTTATATAGCTCTCTCACCCTCCCCCTCTGCCCCAACTTATCCTGCCCGAGACTAGACCCTCGACCTCCCATGTCTGAGTGCAACATTGCCAGATCTATCCTGTGTCCCAAGTTGCTTGTTCATTGTCCATCCAACACATAATTTAAATGACCATAAGAACCCTTTCTGTGATTCTAGTTAGCGTGTCATTATGGTAACAGGATCCAGGTGATGGAAACATTGAAGGTGTTGTGTGTTATGTCTGTACGAGGGAAGACACGTAATAAGGCTGCAGGCAAGTGTTGTAGGTCAGTCGGTCAGACAATCATGTTAGAAAATCAACAAGGCCACCTGTCTGTCCCTCCCTCACTCCCTCCCAGCCTACCTCCCTCCCACACGCCTTCCCCAGACACTACCACGATCACTCTCTCTCCTCTTCCTTATGACCCCTCCCTGTCCTTCCCAACTTCTCTTCTCCTCCTACGCGTTCCTCATGTCCTGACAACATCCTGGTTACCTCCACACATCTCCTACAGAGAGACAAGAGAGAGTTCGAGGCAGGACGTTGATATTTCGGAAGGTTGTTGAAGATATCTCACGTAGATTCCATCACTACTACTTATTATTATTATTATTATTATTATTATTATTATTATTATTATTATTATTATTATTATTATTATTATTATTATTATTGTTATGTGTGTGTGTATGTGTATGTGTGTGTGTGTGTGTGTGTGTGTGTAAGGGTTGCAAACGGGGTAACTTTAGGGCAGCAAGTGAGTGTCATGACCTCTCGACCACGGCACTCCGTAAAACTCCATAATACATCAAAAAATGACCAATGATGAATACATAAACAAAAACACACTTGAATAACCAATTAGCTGGCGGTAGTTCCCGATTGTTACATCAAGTGAATCATTAAGGTTTTTCAACTGGTGGATATACTCAGTGAAGAGTTAAACTATGTGAACAAGATAGATATTTTTGTGTGCTGGTTTTTCCATTTGAATTGTTTGCTGATGTAGGAATTGTGTCTTCATGAACGGTGCTTACAAACGCTAGTGGCAAGTCACGCAAACAACAACAAAAGTAAGAAAAAATAATAAATTAATAAAAATAAACAAGAACCTCGACAACTACAACAACAATAATAACAAAAACAACAACAACAACAATAATACCACCACCATCACCACCACCAACAACAACAACAACGTCACCAACAACAACAACTAATACAACAACAATAATAAACAAACAGACAATAAAATAATCTAGCAAAAACAAAATCCTGATAGTTTACTTGACTTAGGTGTAACTGAAGGAATTCCCTCACACAACTATCACACGCCACCAAATTACTAATGACCTGATCCACTCTCATTACCTGTTAGCCAATAGTAATCCTTAATGACTTAACTAGTGAATTATATATTTTGATTACCATCTTCGTTCTTCGTTCCACTTAATTAGTTTTCACAGCGTGATTAATAACACTTATTGTCTGACTGCGATAATTAATTTGAGTTAATTGTTCTGTTCATGAGTTAGTTTCTCCAGGTGAGTCTCTGGATGCTGGGGAACCCTTTGTTATTAGTGTTGTTACCTGGATGTTAAGGTTTAATTAATTTTTCCTGTGAGTTACACCTAAGAGGAGAGTAGAAGTGAGTGTGGTGAAATACTTTTTGGCATGCTTATACGTGACTGTGTGTGTGTATGACTGTGTGTGTGACTGTGTGTGTGTATGACTGTGTGTGTGACTGTGTGTGTGTGTGACTGTGTGTGTGTGTGACTGTGTGTGTGTGTGACTGTGTGTGTGACTGTGTGTGTGTGTTATGTAATGATATAGGAGAATAATAATTTAACAAGCAATTTCACCAGAGTACAAAAGTGAGACTGGCAAAGAATGAAGACACAAGTTATCTACGAGTTGTTGATAACTTTTACAATGGTTGGGATGAGACTGTTCTTGTAGCGGTCAGTACGTGGTCGTATGGCCTGGATGGGGTTGTAGTGTTGAACAGCAATTCACAGACGAGGGATCTCAGGTGGTAGCAGGTGGAGGAGTCTTACAGATGAGGTCAGGGTAATATGAGGGAAAGCATTGTTTTGTACCTCTTCTGTTTCCCTTTCTCCCGGAGTCTTCGTTGTGTAGTAGATCAGAAAGACAAGGAAGAAAACAATCTAGACAGGGGAAACATAAGTGAGTTTAGTAAGTATGAATGCTGTGTAAACATTCAAGAGCTCAGAAGCAGGAGATAAGGAGACGATAACTGGAATAGTCGAAGGTTGTAGTGAAGTTTACTTTCCTGTTCAGTTTGTTCTCTATAATGACGCCGGGAGCATGGTGGAATCCTCAACCCCTGGAGTGTGTTTGTTGGGGCCCTTCAAGCCAATGATAATAGTCTCTGGTGACTTTAAACTGGTGTTATATTTTGTTTTGTAATGCAGGTGCTGGGTAGGGTAGATAAGAAGAAGAAGAAGAAGAATAAGAAGAAGAAGAAGAAGAAGACTGGAATCTGAACATCCTGTTTGGCGGAGGAAGAGGAGGAGAAAGGGGTGAGAGGGAGGGGGAGTAAAAGGAGGTGAGGCAAAAGTGGCAGGGGTTGTGGTTCAACGGTTTCCTCCTCCTTTTTGTCCTCCTTCTCTTCCTCTTCTTTGTCCTCCTCCTCCTTCTCTTCTTCCTCTTCTTTTTCCTCCTCCTCCTCTTCTTCCTCTTCGTCTTCTTCTCTTCTTTCTCATTCTCACCTCATCCTACTCCCTCTACTCCTAGCTTCTCCCTCTTCCCTCCCTCTCCATCATTTCCTCAGTTCTTCCTTTCCTCGTTCTTATACTCTCCTCTTCCTCCTCCTCCTCCTCCTCCTCCTCCTCCTCATCCTCATCATCATCATCATCATCATCATCATCATCATCATCACCCTGCTCCTCCTCCTCTCTCCTCTGCCTCTAGTACTTGACCACGTCCAAGATGTAACATAGTAATATTTTATTGGGTTCTATCAGGGGGTTCTATCAAGGGGTTCTATCAAGGGGTTCCATAAGGGGGTTCTATAAGGGGGGTTCTATCAGGGGGTTCTATGAAGGGTTCTATCAGGTGTTCAAAGTTGGCTGGTTACTATTTTTGGAACCCGTGTGTGTGTGTGTGTGTGTGTGTGTGTGTGTGTGTGTGTGTGTGTGTGTGTGTGTGTGTGTGTGTGTGTGTGTGTGTGTGTGTGTGTGTGTGTGTGTGTGTGTGTGTGTGTGTGTGTGTGTGTGTGTGTGTGTGTGTGTGTGTGTGTGTGTGCTCGTGTGTGTGCTCGTGTGTATGTGTGTAGAGGACTTTTATGATGCGTAAATGTGTACCTAAATTCAGGGGTTCATAGTTCACACACAAACACACACACACGAGACAGTAGTGAACATAGAGACAAGAAACTAAAAAAAATAAGGGAAAAGAATGTGACAAGAAAGAGAGATAATGGGGAGAAATAAGATAGGAATGTAGAAAATGGGTGAACAATGAGACACAAATGAAATATTAGAAAAAGAAAGAGGAGAATAGGGAGGAATGGGACAAGGAAATGACAAAAATGGGGAGGAATGTGACAAGGAAATGGAGAGAGTAAGTATGAATGGCGTCAGTAGGTGAGTGGTGGTCGGGAGGAACGTGGAGGGAGGGAGCACTAAGTGAGGGAGGGAGGGAGGGAGGTGGTGCGGAGCTTAAGTGGACGGGGCAGTACAGGAAAGGGTGGAGGCTTGGCGTTCCCCAGCACTTTGCCTGAGGCCTGTGTTGTTTGAGCGCTTCTTCCCGGAGGTGACCTTGATAACCCGCGAGTAGAGCCCGCCCTATCCTCAGCTATCCTCCCTCCCTCCCTCCTCTGGGACCCCCTGGAAACAGGAACTTGCAACGGTAACAACGGGAACGCCTGAGAGATGACATGCAAACGGATATTTATGTACACACACACACAGAGTCCACCCTCACAACCCCCTACACCGTCCATACTATATATTGACCCCATATCATTTAAATAAAAAGCCTCAGTATCACCAGCACGAGCAACTAACAGCGCCTGGCGATCTATAAAATTTTTATGCGCCAGACGAAAGTTAGTTAACCCACCTTGGCGCTCTCTTAAAGAACTAAATGGACAGAGTCAAGCTAAAAACTGGTTCATCTCTTCTTCACCTTCAGGATGGGTGAGGCCCCTGGCAGGATGGCACTGGAAAGCCTTGAGAGTACATGGCATCATCATTACAAACAACAACATCTTTAGAGAGAGAGAGAGAGAGAGTCCGTAACCTCGTCCTCTTCAAAGGTATTGGTGAGTCTGCTGGCGTGGGGTGTGGGAGGTGGATTTTTCTGTGACCTTTCATTGTAAGGGTCTCTGTGTTTTTTTATCTGTGCTCTCTCTCTCTCTCTCTCTCTCTCTCTCTCTCTCGGGTTAATAAAGAGTGATGGGAGAATCGTCAGTAGAACTAGAGAGGACAGAGAGTTGTGTTGCCAGACCCCGTCGTCTCCTGCCAGCCGTCCTGTACTCTGGACCAGACCACCGCACACTGCAATATCCTCCCTACAGTTCTTGAATTACCTCTCCGCCTCTCTCTCGCTCTCTCTTTCTCTCACATATCTCTCCTTCCGTGCATTCCTCTCTCTGTCCCTCTTCCTCGAACTCTTTACCTTTCCTCTTACTCTCCCTCTTTCACCACACACCATTCTCTCTCTCTCACTCTCTCCATGTTTCCTTCTGTTCAGTCTCCACCCTCTTCCCTCTCACTGTACCCACTCCATCACCATCATCTCCCCACCACCACTATTAATACCACCACCACCATCGTTATCATCACCGCTGGTCAGTTCACCTGGCCATGTCCAGAATTAATTCGTGTGACTCTGGAGCCAATATTTCTGTACTGTGTCCAGTTACGGGCGCTCATCAACATAACTCTACGTACACTGTAGCTCATCTCTTGCGTCCTTGTAGTATGTAAAGCTCTGTTACGTCAGGGGCACCCAGATCTCCCTCAAGATAAAAGACAAACGATGGTGTGGCAGAGGAGCCCAGCTGGCTCTCCTTATTAGCTGATTTGCGATTAGACACACGGAGGCCCCCCTCACTCCCTGGCTGGCTGATTGGAAGGAACTGTTAGACTAGAGTCACAAACGGCTGAAGAAGAGTTCAGGGATGGTCGGTGACGCCCTTAGAATTACGAGGGAGGAAAGGAATCTTCTGCTAAAGGGACATTCCAGGTTACTCGATAGTTGATTGGTAATTGGAGATAGGAAGGTCCTTCACCAATAAGCCTGGTGATTGGGAAAGACTCGTAGAGGAGAGTCACGGACGATAAGGATAATAAATGAGTCATCCATCACGGTGGGGATCTCTTGTTAAGCGTCCTGATACATCAAGTGTCGATTGCTGGCTGGACAAGGAACGCCTTCTCCCCCGCGTCTACTGATTAGATACAACTGGTGGAGCAGCAGAGTCCCAGACGGTAAAAAAAATGGTCTGGTGAGAGTGGGAGGGAAATCTGTCGCTTAAGGGAAGGACAGTGAAGGTGGAGTACCGAGGGAAGTTAACTCAGGATGCCAATTTAGGTTCAGTTAGTATTTCACTATTCATGGGATTAGAGACTATTTATTGTATCCAGAGCTGATGCCGGTGTTGGTAGAAGGCGGGTGTAAGAACGTCTGGCGTTCATACCCAAGGAATTATATGAAAAGTGAAAGGGAACAAGTACCAGGCGCTGCTTGTACCTCCACTTGGGGATGCTTTTATGGTGCGGTTGAGTGGTCTTGTGCGTCTAGAAATTACACGAATTCCTTACTAATGAAAACTTGTCTCTACTTACAAAGAAACTCACCGAGAATTTAAGGAAAGGGTAAACATTATAATTCGATACAAAAAATAAAGGTGATAAATCAGGGAGTAAAGAAAACACACAGCGGTGGGAGCTGAGGGCAACAGGTGAGCAATTAAGTATAATATAGGATGAAAGGAGGAACCTGAAGAAAAAAGACCGACGCAGAATAATGTGGCTGGAGTAAGAGTCTTCAAGGTGAGAGAGGCTGCATCTTGGAGGTCCAGTGGGAGCCACAACACAGGTGTAGCTGACAGGTGGGTCGTGGCCCTCAGCCTGCAGGTCACCAAGGGTGCTGCATATGTCAGCCAGCAGCTACATGGACACCCCGGTAATAGATGGCAATTATTACAAGCTGAATAGGCATTCTTTAGATTCTCAGATTCTATGGGTCTAATCCCTTTGGATGTGGTAGCTTGTTCGTCTCGCAGGTGAGAGGTCTTGGGTTTGACTCTCAAGGGAGGATTTTCTTTAAGTAAGTTTCTTTCCGCCAGCTGCAGCCTCTGTCTTACCCAGCAGTGGTTGGAGACCTGTGGCATTAACATTTATCCAGTGCTGTTGGGGAGCTGCCGGGTGTTTCTCGATCACGATTATTATGGTTAATTATATAATGTGCTGAGTGACGTCAACACCAGGTTGGCCGAGTCTCAGCTACTAGACAACAACAACTTTTGAAATTTATGAATGGTTTTCTTTCTTCTTTTAGAGTTTTGGTTTTTGTTACACTGAACATCAACCAATGACAATCAAGAGAGATAAACGTCTCGGGTTTTATTGGGAGATAACTATTATCCCCACTTATGGCTTAAGCCGAGGGCACCCCTAGTTCACCCAACTGTAAAATAGATACCTCACTTTACACTTGAGGAAATAAAACCAATCAAATACAGTGCCCTCTCACTCTCTTTGTGTATACCAGAAAACCTGCAGTACACTATATCCACACCTCCCTCAATGGACCATCAGGAATATGGGTCTGACTCACCATAACAACAAACATCTCAAGTAACTATAGAAGGCTTTTATGTTGAATATTTACCTGTTTAATTTACCTTTATAAGCCTGTATGTGGCGTGGAAGGTAGTGTGGCTTAGGTGACATCCAGGGGCTATCTATTAGGAGACTTTAACACCTACAAAGTAGTTATCCAAGGTGTCTTCAGGCTATTGAATAGTTAACCTACCTAGTAATAACTATGTCGAGTGTATGATCAGTTTGTCGAGTGTATGATCTAACTTAAAACTACGCGCTTGAAAGACTTAACTACGAAAGGACGTAGCTACAGTGTAACAGAATATTCAGTTATGGACGTGTGTGTGTGTGTGTGTGGTCTTATGAACAGACATGTAGAGGCTGCCAGGAGGAGAAAACGTGATCTGACATGAGATAGGCGATGATATAAGATAGTGAAGGCCTTGGCGCGTTTGAGAATGATGTTCAGCTGCGGTCAGAGCGGTATAAATCATTTTCCACCTTGAAAGAAAACGAGCATTTGATTATAACTCAAAATATAATAAATAACTGTTTTTTTTAACCTTAAAATTGTAGTGTAAAACGGTATATATAATTTTGTTGAAAGGAAAGATTTATTTAACGAGAGTACATATATTGGCTGAAGGGATCTTAAGTATAAAGTTGTTTTGATCGCAAGGCTTAGCTACAGGCTTTAGGAGATCGATCGTATGAGCTGAGTGTGTGTGTGTGTGTGTGTGTGTGTGTGTGTGTGTGTGTGGGGCTTTGTAAACTAAGTGTGTCTTAATATAGCCGCTTTCATCACGGCTCAGGAACTTTCAGCTGATCAAAGGGACATCTTGGGAATTGACGATTAACAATTAGACTTTTATGTTGCTCTCTCTCTCTCTCTCTCTCTCCACCATACAACACAACTCATAAATATTCATGTCAGAGAGAGAGAGAGAGAGAGAGAGAGAGAGAGAGAGAGGACCATCCCGGCTACCCTCGCGACCACCACTATACTGAACATCACGCGGTACACATCTCAAAGGATTAAAACCACCGTCAGGGGGATTTAATTTGACTGGCGGCCATTGAACACTTCTATAAAAGGTTCGACAATAATTAACTCTGATATCATCTTTGCCGTTTTAAGTCATTTCCCACAAATTTAAATATTTTCTGACGATATTTTGAATTTTGAAAAAGGATTGTATTTTTTCTGATCATATGAATATAATGTTTTAGTGGTTATAAAATGGTTTTCGATGGATTGTTCGCGAGTTTGATATCCGAGTTTATCCTGGTGTTTGTACGCTCTCTCATTGGCCGCTCAGTCGGCTTGGTGTGGAGGGATCGACCAATCACAAACCTCATATGACAATTGTAGGATCAAGAGGGCGGAGGATTCACCATTCATATTTAGTCGCATCACTTCTTCTCATCCAGTATTTGGCCGAATAAAAGAGAAACACAATAACAAAAATAATATAACTTCAAGAAACACACAATTAAATCGACCAAAACAACTACATAAGGAAATGTTGACTAGAAATCAATTTGAAATTCGAACATCACTGGTGGGGTAGCGTTCGTGGGCTCGTCGACGGCCAACCCGGATTCACCCCGTCTACATCACAAGACAAGGCGAGAGGGGGCGGCGGTAGGCCAGTAAATGGAGTTTGTTTACTAAAGAGTTACCTGGGAATATATCTCAGCTTATCTGATGTCGAGGGAGGACCTTGGTGGTGCACATGTGAGTGAAAGTGTTGGTGTGTGATATTCTACATACACAGTATATATCACACACACACAACACCTGTAACTATATATATCTCTTGGATAATATTTCTTACTCTCGTGTCTTCTTTAGCATGTCTTAAGCAGCGTGTCTCATCTCTCCCCCTATGTCTCATCTCTCCCCCTATGTCTCATCTCTCCCCTATGTCTCATCTCTCCCCCTATGTCTCATCTCTCTCTCACTGGCATCCTCGACAGTGACCCGTGTCTCTCTTATCTGTGAGAGACATTGTTACGAGGTCGTCTTAATGTTGTTACTGGAGTCGCTTCACTTTGTCTTCGGGACTTAACATGTCACTCACGCCTCCTCCAACCCCAGGACTACTTACTGCTGACGAAGGGGATGGTAGGTGACGTTATCGTATTGGGGACCTGTGATTGGCTCGCCTTTCCCTCTTGCCCTCATAAGAGTTGCGCCTCACTTGATGACGTCAACGAATTGGAGAGTTATGGTTGGCTAAATCCTCATAATAATAGCCTGACGTCATCGGGTAGGACAAATAAAAACAAGAATTAGAGCTTTCTTTTATTTCTTTACACTGAAGCGAGTAAACCCAATGTTTTCCTTTTGTAGTTACGTATTTTTTCATCTATTTTGTAGCTTAACACATTTCGAGGCTGTCCTAGTGTGAGTCGACTCATCGTTAACCATTGTTTGTCTACCTGAACTATGTTTGTGTACATACTATGCCTGTGTGCGGATAAATACTTAGATTTCCTGATTTATTTATTATTTTTTATTTATGGTATGTTCTGAGCAGTGTGTGTCGGAGAGAGTCAGTAACAGCGAGGGTTCTGAGCAGTGTGTGTCGGAGAGGATTAATCACAACTCACAGCGAGGGTTATGAGCTGGATGGCGTCATCTTGTCAGCTTTCAGTTTGGCAATTCGCGCTTTGACGTTCCTGCGGTCAAGTATTCCATCACCTTTCTTAACGTAGATGTGATCTACGCTTGAGGCCACCAAGACGTAGCCCAGCCTGTCCATGTGTGAGTGGTTGAAGCTGTGTTTTTCGTCCTCGGCCACTATGACCCTGATGGAGACCCTTGTGTCCTTCAGTATGGTCTCCAGGATAAGTGCCTCAGTGCCTTGGACGTCCAGTGAAAGCAAGTCGACGGTAGTTAGATTGAGTGCCAGGAGATAGGAGAGGACAGGGAAGCATTGTACACTGCTGTAGGTGAAGTCCCACGCTTTCGTCTTATCCTCCTTGTTTAGATTATCCTGCCGCATCTCGTGACTGTGGCCTCGATAAGCCCAAAAGTAAAGTTTGTCCAGCCATTCTTTCTGTACGACGTAATGTGACTCAAGAATAATTTGTTTAGGGTAAGACTCAGAAGAGATGCAGGTGTTGGAGCTCCAGGCTTTGCGGTGCTTAAATTTGAGTTCCTTGTAGCTCTCCCTGTCCGGCTCAATGAGAAGTCCTGTCCATCCAAGATTCTTCTCAAGCCAGAGTGTGTTGGATAGGTAAACACCGTTCAGCGCTCCAGCCTCCACAAAGAATCCACCGTGCTGGTCGTGGAACATCTCCTGAAGGTGTTCGTTGATCCAAGGCCAAGTGAAGTCTTGTGAACCTATGTGACTGTTGTCGGAGATGTTGTAAGGAAGGGACGAAGGAAGGTCGAGGAAATCGTTCTTAAGGATCTTCAGGACTTGAGGATCATCAGCGGACAAAGGACCAGCCATCCTGTACAGTACATTACTCTGGCTTGCCAAGGGATCCTGTAGTGAAGAAAACATATCATAGGAATAAATCACCAGCATAGCTTAAGGTTCCTAACAGTCGGAGGTACAAAGAGATGCATACACGTGTACTGTACAGCGCCCTAGAGTTCCTACTAGGGCGGGTCACACTTTATACTGTATCTGAAAATTATCACTAATCCTTAATGAACCTCACCTGTTGAAGCACTAATGAACCTCACCCGTTGAAGCACTAATGAAATTCACCTGTATGAAACACAAATGAACCTCAGCTGTTGAAGCACTAATGAACCTCACCCGTTGAAGCACTAATGAACCTCACCCGTTGAAGCACTAATGAACCTCACCTGTTGAAGCACTAATGAACCTCACCTGTATGAAACACTAATGAACCTCACCTGTTGAAGCACTAATGAACCTCACCTGTATGAAGCACTAATGAACCTCACCTGTATGAAGCACTAATGAACCTCACCTGTATAAATAACCAAGGATAAACAAAGTACTGATTAAAGTTACTTATGTTAAAGAAAGATTATTGAAGATATAGGTTACTTTCAAGTGTTACAACGTTACTTTAAAAGCTACTTAATTAAAATAACTAATAAATCTCACCTGTAAGAAGAACATGAAGAACAGGACCCAGGAGAGAACAAGAACAACCAGGCAAAGAACAATTAGTCTTTGTAAAGTGTTATAGCGCATTGTATCTTCACTACAACGATAACACACACAGTTTACACTTGTTTGGTGACAACTATACCAAAAGGTTTGATTTTTTTTGTCAAGGCAATATTCACCCCGTATATCGTTCCCTGTAATATCCAATTAAGAGGTCAAAACTATTCTCAAAGGTCAACCATCAGGATTAGTTCTACAGAAGAATCACAACAAACACGAATTAATCTTGTACAAATTTAAATGTTGCAGATTAAGTGAGTTACAAGCATGCTGTTATACTCTATAGACCAGAGCATATTCGTCTAAATATACATAACTTAACGAGTCACACGTGGACAAGTACTGGAGCGAGCGGGTGTGATGATCAGGTCTTACTTCCCCGTCCTTTGACTCCAGGAAAACCTTGATTATAAACCTCCTTATACCGACTCCCCTGATACTGGGCGAGGAAATAGTGAGACTCTTTCCTCCTACGTCATAAGGTGGGAGGGACTGCCAGGTGAGAGACTGCCAGGTGAGCAACAAGGACCTGGGCGGGGTTAAGGTTCCTTGGGGCTAATACCTTCAAGCACGCCACATAAGCCAACTTATAAATAAACCGGAGTGGAGATTGCTATTCTTGCCGTGTGTGTGTGTGTGTGTGTGTGTGTGTGTGTGTGTTATCACTGTCTACACAATATCTTAACAGCTGGTTAGACAAATTCACTCTTCCTTCAACATCATACTCATAAATGACGTCATATATGTATGTATGTATGTAATGTATGTAATGTATGTATGTATGTATGTATGTATGTATGTATGTATGTATGTATGCAGTGTCTTTCAAGGAGAACACCTTCACTAGGATTCTATACCCAGGACCAGACAGTTTAACATCACTCAACTGGACAATGTGGATATGAGCTGTGATTCACGAGTGTTGCGGTGCTGTGTCGGGCAGCCTGAGTAACGAGTGACCCTCCTCCCTACCTCATCTCTCTCCTCCCTACCTCGTCCCCCTCCTCTCTACCTCGTCCCCCTCGTCCCTACCTCGTCCCCCTCCTCCTTACCTCGTCCCCCTCCTCCCTGTACCTGTGTTATTTTAAGGAGATTGGAGGATAATTGCTGGGCCAGGGAGTGTCGCTACCTGTTACAGCTTCGTCGGGATGGTGATGTCGTCAGGCACATGAAGTTGGTTTGTGTTCCCTCCTGTACCTCTCTAGTTCAGGGGAGATGGTTGTACTGTAGCGTGTGTGTGTGTGTGTGTGTGTGTGTGTGTTTGTGTTTGTGTGTGTGTGTGCGCGTGTGTGCGCGCGTGTAAACCGTGGCAAACAATGATTAGTTGAGAGAAGGAGGAAGAGGAGGGGGAGGAGACAAGGAGGAGTTATGATCTATCTGAGAATAGAAATTGATCTCTCTTTTAGGCCTATCGTTCCTTCCTCCTCATCCTTCCCCATTCACTCACTCTATTCATATTTTCCTTCTTCATCTTCCTCCTTCACTCCCCTCCCTCCGTCTCCTCCTACTCCTCCTTTACCCCATAAATTCATAATGGTCTTTGTGGGTCGTGACGGTGTTGCAGGGTGGAGGGGTGCAATGATACCACGAAAAATGGGCGGAGGTCTGTTTCTACCTGTGCCTGTCTACCTGTCTACCTGTCTCTCCCTCTCTCTCTCTCCAAACGAGGTAGACATTTTTAATCAATAATATAAAGGAAAAAATATTTACTCCAAGTTCTTAGACGGAAGTTGAAGGGGATTTATCATGAGACGTTAAATAGAAACAAGGAAATGAGAAAATGGAAATAAAGCAAGATGGATAGAAAGAGAGATAGATTAGTAGAGAGAAATAGAGAGAGAGAGAGAGAGAGAGAGAGAGAGAGAGAGCAGAAGTGACGACAGACCTCCTTTAAGCCTCGAGTCACTCTTCAAGGTCAAGGCTGGGTGGAGGGTGAGTGAATGGACTTAATGGTGAAGGGAGGGAGGCGGAGGCGGCAGATCTAGATATGGGAAGGGCGGAGGGTGAGAAGCTAAGAAAGGGGGGTAGGGGGAGGGCGAAACCGATCCAGATAGGGGAAAGGGGAGGGGTGAGGAGAGGAGGTGGCTTGTAGGAAGAGGAGGGAGTAAAGGGTTCAAAGGGGAGAGGGGGTGAGGGTGGATATATATATATTAGGGGTAAGATTTGTCGAGGCTCACAGTTAGTTGACGGCCTACGCCATGAAGGTCCTCTACTTGGGTACGTGCTGCATTCTCCCTCCCTCCCTCTCTCCCTGGACTCCTTCTCTCCCTACCTGGACTCCTTCTCTCCCTACCTGGACTCCCTCTTCCTATACCCGTTGCAGTGTCGTGTGTGTTGTTTGTGTCACGTGCAATTACAAGATGCTGTTTGTAGTGTGAGAGTGTAGCGTGGATGTGTCATGTGTATTGCCAGGGTGTAGCGTGTAATGTTGACGTGTTGTGTGGGTGTAGGGTGTAATATTGAGGTGTGTGGGATGTCAGGGTGCAGAGTGCAATTTCAAGGTGTTTTTTGTGGTGACGGTGTATTTTGAGTGTAGGTGTAATTGTTGTGTGCCTGTGAGCTAGGTGTCGTCTGTCTGTGTCGTTGTGAGAAGGTGAACAACTCTCAGGTTAAGTTTATTTTTAATTTAACATTAACCCCTTACCTACAATGACTTAATCCCTTGAGTACAATTATTTTACCCCTTAAGTAGGAGGCCAATCCCCTGAGTACAATGAATAAGTCCGTTGATTAAGATAAGTTTATATATTATCCAAGAGTCACCTTAAGTGCTTACAGTTAACATGACACTTGTGATCTCATAAACACATTAAGCCTTTTAATTCCCGTACACATGTAAGCCCGCTATGGACGTCTCGTGTACACATATACGCACACTATGAACGACTTCAGTACACATATACGCACACTATGAACGTCTCGTGTACACATATTTGATCTCTGAAGGATCCCCAGAGAATTTATATTACTGGGAAGTGTTTATGTTGTCCCCTGCAGGAGTGTGTGTGATGCTGGGGTGTGTGGCCGCCCTGCCTGGCCTCCGTCTTCGCCGGGACTCATCAGTCTTCTCCCTGGAGCTGCCGTCCAACGCCTCTCTGACTATCGGACCGATCCAGACTGGCTTCGACTGTAGTGACCTGCCCTACGGCTACTACGCCGACGAGGCCAACAACTGCGCCATCTTCCACGTGTGTCTCCCATACATCGACCACGGAGTCTACGTGAGCCGCCACTTCTCCTTCATGTGTGGGCAAGGCACCGTCTTCGACCAGGAGCGCCTCATCTGCGACTTCCCAGAGACCGCCCTCCCCTGCTCCCAGGTCGCCGCCTTCAGGAACACCAACGAGTACTTTGGACGTGCAGATATCAACTTCCTCGAGAAATAGAACTTCATGAGCCAGCCTTGTGCTTAACCTTCTGAATCTTTGTACGACAACACAGAATATAACAGCAACACGTTGTAATTCCCTTCTACAGTAGTTCGACCATGTTCTTGTCGTGCAAAAGATTGTAAACGCGACTACCCGAAGGCTCCGTGTTGGTGTACTCCATTAGCACACACTACCGAAGAGTGTTTGTCTTCCAGTGTGAGCTCCACCACAGGGAGAATTCAGGAACAATCTCTAGTAAACAGACTGACGAATATAACAGTGCAACAGTTTCCACTCGTGTGTGTGATGTTCCCTGAATCCTCCTCAAGTTTCCGGTCAGGTGAAGTGCCTCGTGTTGCTCCTCCAGTCAGATGTGATCCTCCACCAGCTGACGAGGCCCCTAGACTCTATAACCCGTACATGATCTCTCTCTCTCTCTCTCTCTCTCTCTCTCTGTCAGTACGAGTTTGTGAATTTTTTCCGGCTGTCTCTTAGTTAACACCTTAAATTTGAATGTCATACAAGATTTACATCAACGAAATAAACTGTATACCATATAACTGTATCATATAACTGGATTAGGATATGTTAAAGATATATTACCACTATCGGGGACTTTTAACTAAGAGAAATACATTTAGTATATTGAGAGTAAGATCAGTAGAGGATGTTATTTATTGGCAGTGTTCTTTATGTTTGTCAATATGATGAATGATTATGTGACTAACAGGTGAACTGACCACACACACACACACACACACACACACACACACACACACACACACACACACACACACACACACTCTACTAATTCCTCTTAAATAGATACACTTATGTAAGGTCAATTTAGAGACAAAATTACAGTAAGATTCTACCTAAATTTTCCTAAATGTCTAATACTCTTCTGAACACTTGGCTGAGGATACAGGTATACACACATACATAGAGTACAGGTGTGTAGTACAGTTATTCATAAGTAATCATACATAATTCCTTTATACTTTCATACAAGGGAATATACATGCATTTATAGACGCATTATGACGTTTTGTATGACAGTAAAGTATACCATATAGGAATTAATTTTCATTAATTTGGAGCAACGAAAACAAGAGTTATCTCTGTTTGGAAAAAAAATCCCGCAAGTTACTCTTTAACCCTTTGAGGACGATGGTTTAACCCTTTGATAAAGATGACTTAACCCTTTGAGGACGGTGGTTTAACCCTTTGATGAAGATGACTTAACCCTTTGAGGACGGTGGTTTAACCCTTTGATGAAGATGACTTAACCCTTTGAGGACGGTGGTTTAACCCTTTGATAGAAACCCGATCCTTTGAGGACGATGGTTTGGTTTAACCCTTTGATGAAGATGACTGTTGCTTGGGGGGTGGTTTAACCCTTGATAAAGATGACTTAAGCTTGAGGACGGTGGTTTTAACCCTTTGATGAAGATGACAACCCTTTGAGGACGATGGTTTAACCCTTTGATAAAGATGACTTAACCCTTTGAGGACGGTGGTTTAACCCTTTGATGAAGATGACTTAACCCTTTGAGGACGGTGGTTTAACCCTTTGATGAAGATGACTTAACCCTTTGAGGACGGTGGTTTAACCCTTTGATAAAGATGGTTTAATCCTTTAAGGACGATGGTTTTGATAAAGATAACGGTTGAAGATTTGACGGTGGTTTAACCCTGATGAAGATGACAAGGACGTGGTTTAACCCTTGATGATGGTTTAACTTTGATGGTTTTTTGATGTATGGTGCTTGATGATGATTTGAGGACGATGGTTTAACCATTTTGATAAAGATGACCCTTTGAACGATGGTTTAGCCCTTTGAGGACGATGGTTTAACCATTTGATAAAGATGACTTAACCCTTTGAGAATGATGGTTTAACCCTTTGAGGGCGATGGTTTAACCCTTTGAGGACGATGGTTTAACCCTTTGAGAATTATAGTTTAACCCTTTGATGATGTTGGTTTAACCCTTTAATGCTTATGGTGCAACCCTTTGATGATGATTGCTTAACTCTTTGAGGACGATAAAATTTAATCCTTTGATAGAGATGATTTAACCCTTTGAGGACGATGATTTAATCATTTAACCCTTTGAGGACGATAGTTTAATCCACTCGCCCACTAAGGGTTAAAACTTAATCGGCGAGTATCTTTCTGGACACATGAATGTTTGTGTTAGTCTAAGTTCATGGGTCCACACACACACACACACACACACACACACACACACACACACACACACACTACTTCCATATAATTTTTCTAAATATATAACTCAAAGACACTCTTCTAACTGCTCTAATTTAATATAAATGTTTCATAAGGAAGATTTGTTAATAAAAAACTAAATAAAATTATCGAAAAAAAAATAGCAAGTGGAAAGTATTAATTTTACCTGAAGTGTTTAGTGAGGTAAAAATAATTAACTATTTTAGGAACTTTGAAAGTATTATTAAATTTAAAGTCAGGTAAATATGTTATGTAATTATTCTATATCAAGTTAATTATTATTGATTAAAAAGGTGAATTAAGTACACCAAATGCTACTTAATTTAGTTGTTATTATCTAGTTACTCTAGTGTATGAAGGTAATTAATTTATATATACCTAAAAACTTCAAATCCTTTAGTAATATGAAACAGAAAATCAAAATAGAAAAAACTAAAAAATAAAAAATAAAATCTTTATCTGTATATCAACACCGGTGGAGGGGGAGGAGGTAGGGGGTAGTGGGAGGGGGAGGAGGTAGGGGTTTGTGTGGGGGTAGGGGAGGGGCATCTACCATCACCACCACCACAAGTCTGTCACCTGCTGGGCGTCGCTAAACGTCTTAAGGTCACTGATGTCATCCTTAAAGGGGGGAGGGGGAGAAACGAAAGAGAAATGGAGATGAAACGAGAGATATAGACAACTGAAAGAGAATGATAGAGAAGCTATAGAGAATATAATAATGGGTGAAGAAAGATGAATGAGGAAAGAAGAGATGGTGGGCAGTAAAGACAACACTACGAACAGGGAAGAGAGAGAATAAAGATGAGTGAGAGGGAGAGAGAATAAGAGAGGAGAGGGGAAAGATAATGGGAGGATAAGGAGAGAAGAGGACTGAAGGTGTCACCCCATAAGCCAACCAGGTATGTGTGAGAGAGAGAAAGAGAGAGAGAGAGAGAGAGAGAGAGAGTAAAGGATGTGGTGGACAAGATAGCAAGATACCCCACACCTACGCCCGAGTGTGGTGAGTGGTGTTGGTTGGCATTCCACTCAACTAAACAAATTTTGCGATTCCTCCCCCTCCCTCTTCCCCCTGACTCTCTCTCTCTCTCTCTCTCTCTCTCTCTCTCTCTCTCTCTCTCTTTCTTTCGTGTTCTTCTTTAATATATCACCTAAAATAATGTTGTTTTATATGTTAATACAGTAAACTCTTCTTGATGGCATAGACAGGCATAAGGGTGAATGAAAAGTCCCCCTCCTGATCTATCTCCACGTATAAATATTTCTCAAGACTGTCTCCCAAGAAACCAGGAGACTTCCAATCCCTCTCCTAACCTAACCTAACCAAATCCCTCCGCAAAATTGACTAAGAGAAGCCCAGACAACGCAATATCAAGCTGAAGGGGGGAAAAAAAATTATGAATGTAAATATATATTTACGTATCCCGTGGTGAAGTATACGAGGCCTCTCTACAGGAGCTCGATCCCATTGAAGATAAAGGGAAGGATTTTTTTTTTCACAAGAGTCAGGTATTCAGCAGAGACCATCTCGGAGTCTTGATGGATGATCGAACGCTGGTGAAGAGACAACCTGCGCATATAGTGTGTGTAATAATAATAATAATAATAATTAACGGTTTATTGAAAGAGCTTGGCAGCCAGAAGGCTGAAAATATACAGTTACATATTTGGGGAATGGGTTACGAATTACAAATAATATACAAGTGACATAAGTGACACAAATAAGACATATAGTAACTTAGATGGGGATCAGCTCAAACTACAGTTCATTTCAACATAGTGACAGTGTAGGGAGCAGTGTTTACTGGGAGTGAATACACTGATTTATTACATGTTATTGATAATTTTTACAATGGTTGGGACTGGGCTGTTCTTATAGCGATCAGTTCGTGCACGTATGGGCTGGATGCGGTTGTGGTGTCGAACAGCAATTCTCGGACAGGGGATCTCAGGTGGTAGTAGGGGCCGGTGTCGGGGATGGTGTAGAAGCTTCTTACCAAATTTGCAGATGAGGCCGTGGTGATGGTCAGTGAGAGTCGAAAGGGTCAGTGTGTTGAGCGCTTCTTGATATGTGGTGTAGGAAGGGGAGAGAATAATCTTGCATGCCCTCTTTTGCACTTTTTCTAGGTGTTTACGTTGTGTGGCATTTAGAGAGGAAGACCAGGTGGGGGAGGCATAGGTGAGCTTGGGAAGTATGAATGTTGTGTATACACTGAGGAGCTCGTGTGCGGGAACTCCGAGGGACTTGAGTCGGCGGAGGAGGTGGAGACGGAAACTGGAGGATTTGACAACTTCACTGACGTGTGGTTTCCAATTTAGTTTGTTGTCTATGGTGACGCCGAGGAGCTTCGTGGAATCTACAACCTGGAGTGTGTTCGGACCTAGGGTAATGGAGGGAGGTGGGACAATGTCGGAGGAGAGGTTGATGTGCATAACCATGGTCTTGGTATGGTTGATGGTGACATGGTTGTTGGTGGCCCAGTTTTGGAGACTGTTCAATAAATCCTGAAGGGCGGTATAGTTGGGAGCAGAATTGTTGACGCTGATCCCAATGGTGGAGTCGTCGACATATTTCCAGCGAGCAGGGGTTTCTCTTAGGGCATCATTGATGAGCATAAGGAAGCAGAGTGGTCCCATCTTGGTGCCTTGGGGGACGCCACAGGTGAGTGACTGAAAGGTGGAGACAGCCCCTCGGAAGCGTACAGCTTGGCGTCGGTCACTGAGGAAGTCTGTAAGCCATGGTATGAGACTTCTCCGAAGCCCGAGGTCAATAGCTTTGTTTATGATTATATTGTGGTCGACTAGGTCGAACGCTTTAGTGAAATCAACGAAGGCGACAGCTACAGACGTTTTTCGTTTCTCGAGATGGCGGTATATGTAATCGAGAAAGCTGACAAGACAGTGAGTGGTGGAGGAAGTTTTCATGTTGCCAAATTGCTGAGGGTCTACGACTCCTGCAATATCAGCATAAGCCCTGTCAAACACAAAACTTTCACAGATTAGGCTGGGTATTGGGGTGATTGCAATAGGTCGTAGCTGGTTTAAGGATTGTGGGCTGGTTGACTTGGGCACTGGTGATACATAAGAGGTACTTAAAATGCCTGGTGGGTAGTTCGACAGCAGAGGAAGTTATTTAGAATCAAGTTAAAAAATATCCCTTATTGGATGCTCATTTTTTTTTACTACAAGGTATAGTTATGGAAGACACACACACACACACACACACACACACACACCATCGGAAGTAAATTCTCCAAAATCTTTAAAAAAAATCCTAACATAAACTTCTCCCAGTGACACAAACAAACAAACAAACAACTAAATAATAAGTAAAAAAAAAATAAGAACCAGATAAGAACCAGATCATTACAAGGTTCCTTAAGACTAGACAGGAAAGCAATTAAGATCCCAAGCAGATATACGACACACAACACCACCACAACACAACAGGGAACTTGTGATAAAACTTCCCAGATGATTTACAACCTCTGAAAAAAAAAAAGCAAGGGTGTTTTTTTTATCTCGTTTTTTTCCCTCATGTTGTTTTATTGTATTTTCTGTGTCTTGTGTTTTGTTGTTTTTTGTTTTGTCTGGTTGTTTAATAGACGTAATAGAAGGATAACAGAGTATTTTTTTTGTATGTTAAGTTAATGATGAGGTTAATGGTATTTTAAACCCATGAGTACGATGACTTAACCTCTCTAGGTATGATGATTTAACCACTGATTACGATTATTTATTCTCACTGAGTAAGATAATTTAGTCGCCTGAGTACTATAAGTTTACTCTCTAAGTATAGTTAATTAACCCCTTGAGTACGACGACTTAACCCCTTGATTACGGCGACTTAATCTCTTGAGTACTGTGATTTAACCCCTTGAGTACTACGACTTAACCCCTTGAGTACGACTACTTAATCTCTTGAGTACGGCGATTTAACCCCTTGAGTACGACTACTTAACCTCCTGGGAACAATATCATCGTACTCAATGATTTTGGTAGTCGTATTCAAAGGATTAAGACAAGGTGATTGAGTCTAAGTACTCGAGGATTTTAAGTCATCATACTCAATGTAATAAGATATCGCATTCAATGGGTAATGTACTCAGGGGTTGGCATTGTATTTCTGGGGTTTTAATGGTTCATATATCAGGGTGAAGATAAGAGGCTGTAATCGTTTATATATAAGTGAATTTAAGGGGTTTCAATGGCAATATATCAGGGATATTTGACAGTGTTAACAAGTTGAATACAAAATATAAGTAACTAATCAACAAAGGTGTAAACGGATAATAAAATTAATATATATAAATTGGTATAGTTTTTATTTCTTGCAACTCACAATGAATGGTTTATTTATTAACTTCTTCATGACTAGAAATAGAAAAAAAAATGGTTTATTGAAGTAGAGGCGTGTTACTTCCATACACAGATACAGTCCTTAATACTATATGTTGTTGGTGTTATTGAGAGTTAGGGTGAGACTTGTGGTTCCCATAGGTTAATGGTTAGCAGAAGGTCAGAGGTCCTACCAGGTCACATGGTTTACTGAGAATAATGTACACGCAAACACATATAGAAAAACAGAGTCGTTAAGTAAGTAGTAGCGAGAAGACCAATTGTTTAAAGCTGCTTTGTATTTGCATTAGAGTTTGATCTTTTACTTTTCGAGGAACTTAATGTCAGTGCGGCCGAAATACTCGTTAGACCTCCTGAAGGAGGAGGACTGGCTGCAGGGGCTGGCGTTCTCGGGGGTGGCACACACGAGATGCTCCTGGTCAAAGACGGTGCCCTCGCCACACATGAAGGAGAAGTGGCGGGTCACCACGATGTTGTTGTCGATGTATGGGAGACACACGTGGTAGATGGCGCAGTTGTTGGCTTCGTCGGCGTAGTAACCGTAGGGCAGATTAGCACAGTCGAAGCCCGTCTGGATCCCTCCCAGGACCAGTTCAGCGTCGGAAGGAAGTTCGAAGAAGAAGGAAGATGAGTCACGGCGTTGACGGAGGCCAGGCACGGCGGCCACAGCACACACCAACAAAAGAACTGGAAGAGTAATCAAAACAACAATAAATACACATAACATAATAGATAACAGAAAATAGGAAATATAAACAATGTTACACGAAAGACCACAATGATTTTTCCGGCAGTAAAACCATCACAACCGTGAGGCCAAAGACAAGAGTAAGTTAAAGAGCCTTCAAGACCTCACCAAGAGCAAGAGTATTCATGCTGACAGAGACGGGTGAAGAATGATGACTAGAGGTGGTGATACAGCCTTATATAGCCGGCGATAGTGAAGGTGACCGGCAGCGACCTTGTCAGTACCTTGAGCTGCCTCAACACCCTTCTTGTCTTACACCCGCGAGTATGAACATGATCAACCGCAGTTTTCAGTGTATCGTTATGTTTACCTCTGATAAATGTTTCTAACTGATAACAAGAAAATGTGGTAGTTCTTTAAAATAGAACCTATATAACTTGTTACACTTATTCTTAAACAATGATAATGAGACATTTTTTTAATATATATCTGAGTCTCGGTTTTAGTTACAAGTATACAACATCAGCAGCTTTATATACCGTACAGTCACTGACTGACTCACTCAAGCACTAAATGACTCAGTCACAGACGGAGAATAATGATAATTATTGCTTTACAAACTAACTGGAGTAACATCTTGCCGCTTTACTGCAGCATCATGTTTGCCTTGATGCTCAAGAGAACGACCTTTTATGGGTGAGAAATAAAAGGGTCTAGGAAGAGAATAGAAACTCAGGGGAAGTAAAGGTTGGGTGCAGAGGACAGGATAATTAGGGTGACAAGGAAGGAGAGTTTACGGGATATTAGTAGAGCTTGTAACATGTCAGGAGTATGTGGTGATGTATTCAACAGCTGAGTGACGTTCGACGCTCACACGCCAATACTTGTTCAGAAAAAAAATGCTCTAACTGCATTGAAAAGTTATTGTCCGTTGCACAAATCAATTATTCAGGGAATAAATTATTTCCTTAATGCAGTAGGTAGTTGGCAGCTACCAAACAGGGAGGTACTACCGGCTGGGAAGATATTGGAAGCATAATGTGTTGTCTAATGGTAGACCCTGCTGCCATATGTGACCAAGTCCCAGGTTGCTCATCTGACTTTCTGCCTCATTTATAAACAATTTCAGGGTCTCAATTGTTTCTCTTACTTTGGCCACACAACATACACACTGTATATTGTTTCTCATTTTTGATATTTTCTTATGGCTCTATTAATTTTATTATTATTATTATTATTATTATTATTATTATTATTATTATTATTATTATTATTATTATTATTATTATTATTATTATTATTATTATTATTATTATTATTATTATTATTATTATTATTATTATTATTATTATTATTTATATTAAATTTTATTACTTTTATTATTATTATTTTATTATATTTTCGGCCACCAGGCCTTGATGTGGGTCATAAAATGTCCTACAGTATGACCGGTTGGGCTAATGACCGTAAAAAAAAGAAAAAGAAAAAAAAATATATATTATTGACTATAAACCAATTATTTACTTTTGACATTAACAGTTGAATAAGAGAATCATTAGTTATCTGCATAAATTAAGGGTTAACAACATTTACCAATAGTTGGCGGCTTAAGTCAATGGTTCTTTATTTCAGTCGTTTATTGCATCTATTAATGGTTAATATAAATTATTAATGGCTCTCTGCGTTAGTCAACGATGGAAAGAACAAATTAAAGGGTTGAGTGAGACCTCAGGCTGCCTCACAACTCTCCACTTTACTAATAGTGATGATGAAGAGAATCTGATACGTGATTATTTTTATTGAATAACGTTTTGACTCGCACACAGAAAGCGACACATTTTCTTTAACATTCAGATGGACATAGAGAGGCAGAGATGACAGTGCCCTCTGAAGCACAGTGGTATAGACCAAAGGACCTGAACTGCAGAAATCAGTAGATAACTGAATTTTTATTCGTGGAGATTCAAGGACGAACGTGTAAAGAAACTTTACGGATACGTTTGAAACTTTTTTATTAACAAATATTATTATACTCGCAAACACAATTATTAAGACAAAATACATTGTTTTAGATGATTAAAGGTTACCAAGGCTTTGTGTTATATGTTTATATGTTTCTTATTGTATTATTATATGTTGATTTGTTTACTTCTCGAGGAACTTAATGTCAGTGCGACCGAAGTACTCGTTAGACCTCCTGAAGGAGGAGGACTGGCTGCAGGGGCTGGCGTTCTCGGGGGTGGCACACACGAGATGCTCCTGGTCAAAGACGGTGCCCTCGCCACACATGAAGGAGAAGTGGCGGGTCACCACGATGTTGTTGTCGATGTATGGGAGACACACGTGGTAGATGGCGCAGTTGTTGGCTTCGTCGGCGTAGTAACCGTAGGGCAGATTAGCACAGTCGAAGCCCGTCTGGATCCCTCCCAGGACCAGTTCAGCGTCGGAAGGAAGTTCGAAGAAGAAGGAAGATGAGTCACGGCGTTGACGGAGGCCAGGCACGGCGGCCACAGCACACACCAACAAAAGAACTGGAAGAGTAACCAAAACAACAATAAATACACATAACATAATAGATAACAGAAAATAGGAAATATAAACAATGTTACACGAAAGACCTTAATGATTTTTCCGGCAGTAAAACCATCACAACCGTGAGGCCAAAGACAAGAGTAAGTTAAAGAGCCTTCAAGACCTCACCAAGAGCAAGAGTATTCATGCTGACAGAGACGGGTGAAGAATGATAACTAGAGGTGGTGATACAGCCTTATATAGCCGGCGATAGTGAAGGTGACCGGCAGCGACCTTGCCAGTACCTTCAGCTGCCTCAACACCCTTCTTGTCTTACACCCGCGAGTATGAACATGATCAGTCACAGTTTACAGTGTACCGTTATGTTTACCTCTGATAAATGTTTCCTACAGATTTTGAAATTGTCTCAATGCCGAATAATTTGATGCTAAAAGTTGTAATTTTATAAAATAGTGATAGAGATTATTATTATTATTATTATTATTATTATTATTATTATTATTATTATGATTATGATTATGATTATGATTATGATTATTATTATTATTATTGACGATGTGTCACTAAGGAGTTTGTAACAAAACGTCAACATAGAAGTTGTCTCTCTGACCCTGTGTGTCTTTCGCTACCCTAGAACCATCGTCGTATTGAGTCCTTATTATTATTATTATCATTATTATTATTATTATTACAACATTTCTGAATCAATCTCAACCTAATGTTTGGTGTTCATATTGAAACTCTCTTTATACCAAACTACCACTAAACTAATGCAGCTGTATGGTAATACTGGAAAAGTGTCTTAGGAGAATAATAACACTTTCAATATATATAAAATGACAAAACTTATAAGATCATCAACAGTCTTAGTTAACTTACATTATATAACCTGTTAAAAACTTTTATCATCTATGAAGAAATATATAACTTGTTCTACTTATTCTTTTACAATTTTAATGAGAAGTTTTTTAATACATAACTGAGTTTTAGTTTTAGTCACAGTTTTAAAGCGGCAGTAGAGCCATGTGCAATACCGTCACTGACTCACTCAGTCAGTTAATGGGAATGATAATATCTTTAACTTACACATCGGAAGATGCAATATTTTGTCACTTTACTGCAACAACTTTTTCTTCATGCTCAAGAGAAAGACATTTTAATAGGTAAGATATAAAGGGATTTTGGAATAGAATAGGAAGTTGTGACAAGAAGGTGTGTGACAGGGAAGGAGAGTTAAAGGGAAAGGTAGAGTTTTCAACATGCCGGAAATACTGTATGTGATGTTATCAACACCTGCGTGACTCTTGACGCTGCACACCAATGCTTATTTAGATAGATACTGGTCTTGTTCCATAAATAAATTACTGTCCGTTTTATAAGCATACTACTCAGTGTATAAATTACTCATTCACAGCATCGAGCAATGGTTCATTTAATGACTGTAAATCAATGGTTGTCTGTATAAATGAATGATTTACTTCTGATACTAACAGTTGAATAAGAGAATCATTAGTTATCTGCATAAATTAAGGGTTAACAACATTTACCAATAGTTGGCGGCTTAAGTCAATGGTTCTTTATTTCAGTCGTTTATTGCATCTATTAATGGTTAACATAAATTATTAATGGCTCTCTGCATTAGTCAACGATGGAAAGAACAAATTAAAGGGTTGAGTGAGACCTCAGGCTGCCTCACAACTCTCCACTTTACTAATAGTGATGATGAAGAGAATCTGATACGTGATTATTTTTATTGAATATCGTTTTGACTCGCACACAGAAAGCGACACATTTTCTTTAACATTCAGATGGACATAGAGAGGCAGAGATGACAGTGCCCTCTGAAGCACAGTGGTATAGACCAAAGGACCTGAACTGCAGAAATCAGTAGATAACTGAATTATTATTCTTGGAGATTCAAGGACGAACATGTAAAGAAACTTTACGGATACGTGGGAAACTTTTTTATTAACAAATATTATTATACTCGCAAACACAATTATTAAGACAAAATACATTGTTTTAGATGATTAAAGGTTACCAAGGCTTTGTGTTATATGTTTATATGTTTCTTATTGTATTATTATATGTTGATTTGTTTACTTCTCGAGGAACTTAATGTCAGTGCGACCGAAGTACTCGTTAGACCTCCTGAAGGAGGAGGACTGGCTGCAGGGGCTGGCGTTCTCGGGGGTGGCACACACGAGATGCTCCTGGTCAAAGACGGTGCCCTCGCCACACATGAAGGAGAAGTGGCGGGTCACCACGATGTTGTTGTCGATGTATGGGAGACACACGTGGTAGATGGCGCAGTTATTGGCTTCGTCGGCGTAGTAACCGTAGGGCAGATTAGCACAGTCGAAGCCCGTCTGGATCCCTCCCAGGACCAGTTCAGCGTCGGAAGGAAGTTCGAAGAAGAAGGAAGATGAGTCACGGCGTTGACGGAGGCCAGGCACGGCGGCCACAGCACACACCAACAAAAGAACTGGAAGAGTAACCAAAACAACAATAAATACACATAACATAATAGATAACAGAAAATAGGAAATATAAACAATGTTACACGAAAGACCTTAATGATTTTTCCGGCAGTAAAACCATCACAACCGTGAGGCCAAAGACAAGAGTAAGTTAAAGAGCCTTCAAGACCTCACCAAGAGCAAGAGTATTCATGCTGACAGAGACGGGTGAAGAATGATGACTAGAGGTGGTGATACAGCCTTATATAGCCGGCGATAGTGAAGGTGACCGGCAGCGACCTTGCCAGTTCCCCCAACAACCTCTTGTCCTACACAGCCTGCTTCTCAGGTAGGCAACAACCTGACCCACAGCAGGTGGACGGCAGGTGGATAGGTGGACGGCAGGTGGATGTGTATTTAGGACATTATAGAACACCTTTACACAGTTAATTAGTTTAGAACACACAGGGAGGGGGAGAAGAGGGAGTGTAGGAGAGGAAAGGAAAGAGGTGATGGTGATGGGGAAAGAGTGGAAGAAGAGAGGGAAAAAAAGGGAGGCGAGTGTGGAAGGTGATGGTAGGGGCAGGAAAGGGAGGAGAGAAGTAGAAGAGGAGAGGAATGATGGTGGGGAAAGGGTGGGAATGAAGAGGAAGGAAACAGTGGAGGAGGGAGGAGATGGGAGAGGTTATGGAAGGGAAGAAGGAAGAAGGAATGGGGGTGGTAAGAGGTCGACGTATTACGATCCTATACAATTATTTGTATGTAAAGGTTCAGTGACTGTGTGTGTGTGTGTGTGTGTGTCAATATCCTGTACAAAATTAATACACCAGTTTGTTTTATTTGGCATTATTGTATATTTAACTAATTATTCGCTTCTTTAGTGTTATTGATGGATTATTATCATGACATTTAAACAAATGTATTAATAATGTATCCAGGTGGTTCTTTAATAGTTGTAGTTGTTGTTGCTGGTGGTTGTGGTGTTGTTGTTGTTGATTTTGTTGTTGTTGTTAATGTTGTTGTTGTTGTTGTTGTTGTTGCTGGTGGTTGTGGTGTTTTTGTTGTTGATTTTGTTGTTGTTAATGTTGTTGTTGTTTTTGTTGTTAATATTGTTGTTTTTGTTGTTGTTGTTGTTGTAATGTGCTAATTACTACTTATATAAACAAAGTGAACTCCGCCTTAAGGTATTCAATCCTGTGTCTGTGATGGTCTGCAGTGAAACCTCCATATAGCGGACTTCTATATCTATATAATCCGTTAGATGGAGGTTTCATATCTAAAGGATCCTCTATATAACGAACATTCCTCTCCATATAGTCCGTTAAATCGAGGTTTTAATGTATTGGCAATAACGTAAATTTTAATGGACAACAAACGATCAACTGTTAGCGTGAAGGAGGAAGTTATATATTGGTGAGAGAGAGGGAGGGAAGGAGGGAGGGAAGGAAGGGAGGGAAGGAAGAGGGAGGGAGGGAGGAGGGAGGAAGGAAGGAGGGAGGGAGGGAGGAAGGAGGAAGGAAGGGAGGGAAGGAGGAAGGAAGGGAGGGGAAGGAGGGAGGAAGGAGGGGAGGGAAGGAAGGAAGGAGGGAGGGAGGGAGGGAGGGAGGGAGGGAAGGAGTGAGGGAGAGTCTCTATCCTCGGCAATACTTCAACTGGCCTGGAAGCAGATCAATGAAGACAAGTTTAATTGTCTTTAATATTAACACGAAACAAATCATTTATGAATAACTACAGTACATAACAAATCTTCTGCTGGGACCTCAACTCAGCTGTACAAGAGAAGTAAACAAACACGTCAGCTAGATAAACAAGTCGGGTAGACAAAACAAGTCGGGTAGGCAACACAAGTCGGGTAGACAACACAAGTCGGGTAGACAACACAAGTCGGGTAGACAACACAAGTCGGGCAGACAACACAAGTCGGGTAGACAACACAAGTCGGGTAGACAAAACAAGATGGTAATAACAGATAATAAACATCTCCGACTAAGAACGAATAGGATCTCAAGTAAAGGTGTTTCTGTACCCCTTGGTTTGTTTTACTGCCGCTAACTTCCTAATTTGAAGACGGAGACTCAGATTACAACACTTTCATGAGAGGGCGGAGGGAAGGAAGGTGAAGGGAACCTGACTATAGATTGTTGTGGTGGGCCAGATTGCAAGGATTGAATATTCCCAACACTTGCCACATAAAAATTCCTTCCCTCCTAGACTGGACATAATGCACCCAAACTGGCACACTCAGACTATACGATACAATGCAACGTAATGGAGAGAGAGGAGGAGGGGGGGAGGGTCGGGTACGTATAATTCTGTTGACTTTAGTACCGAAGGCAATACCGTAATCAGATCCCTTCTTTGTGTACCGAGTTAAGGTTAGAAATTTAGCGTAATGGTCCTTGAGATTGTGAGAAGATGGGTCCTACATGTTGAGAAAGGGGTGGGGTGAAGAAGTGAGGGGGAATGGGGGTGTTGGGGAAAGGGGTGAGGGAGGGGGGTTTACAGTGTAACCACCCGCACCCTTTCCCTACTTGACCTTGTGCAATGGTATCGGATTAAATGGGTTGAGACCGGGCCCCTCCCCCTTCCTCCTCTCTCCCACTGCTACTTCCTTACCATATGCATTGTGGGTTTGTATGACCTTATATAATACATTCCTCTAACCTCCCTGTATGTATGTTAGTTACTCTAGCATACATACATATACACATCGCCTGTATGACACCAGACAAGCTTCCCTTTCCTCGTGGATTTGTGTCGTTGACGTGTGTGTATGTTGTATGAAGGTGTATGACACAATCTACACACCTCTACCCTGTTGGCTGTGTGTATGTAGTATAATACTTCGTAGAACACACTTCTCCATACACACTGTGACGAAATAATTACTTTTTATGTGAAACTACATAATGATTTCACTCTCTCTCTCTCTCTCTCTCTCTCTCTCTCTCTCTCTCTCTCTCTCTCTCTCTCTCTCTCTCTCTCTAGTGTGCCTTTACGAACGCTTCTGGTAACTTTGTTCGTCAGTTTCCCAAGAAAGAATTCCTTTGTATAATATGACTATTAAAGAAGCACTCATTATCCTAATCTGCTTGTCTTATCCATGACCTATCCCTGCTACTGTTTCTCCACAATCATCCTTCGCCATGTCTTGTACATCTATCCATCCAGTAGGTCGTGTCCCAAGTCTTGTTCCTCGTCCGGATTCATACTAAGGAAAGAAACTCGGGAAACTCTTGCCAGTCCTCGTCCGCTGGCCGACCTTGAGTCATTCCTACTCTTATCATCCTCCTCCCGTGTGTGGTCAGTCGTACCCATCCTTAACGCATCCTGAGCTCTGTGTGTTGCTCATCCTTTTTTGTTTCTTCGGTTTTCATCCTATCTCTATCCAACCTCTTATTCCTATCCCAATCTATCTTACCCTCATCCTAGCTCCTACCAGCCTAGGACCGTACACAGGAGTCTTTTAAGGGAGAGTTAGATCACTTATCCTTACCCACTGGATGAAGTATGTACTGTAGATGTCACGGCGGACTCACATGTTTGAAGGATCTGTTTGTCAGTGCGTTTAAGATTGAGCAGCTTTTTTCTGTTGAGTCTCGTACACAACAGCGGTTATAGAGAATCATACTCACGAAAAATTATCTTTAATATTATAACAGTTGTCATAAAAGGCTGAAAAAGTTTAGGAACTAGTTTGTACGTACAGTGTTCAGGAGTCTGAGGGAGACCCTGATGAAGGTCTTACTCCTCCTCAAGAAAATTAGCATTCACGCGGCCAAAATAAACGTTGGATTTCCTGAAGGAGGCAGACTGAGAGCAAGCTAAAGCGCTTTGATGGAAGTCGCAAACGAAACGCTCCTGATCGAAGACGGTGCCCTCCCCACACATGAAGGAGAAGTGCCTGGTGATGATCTGGCCGAAGTCGATGTAGGGGAGAGACACGTGGAAGATGGCGCAGTTGTTGGCCTCGTCGGCGTAATAGCCGTAGGCCAGATCACTACAGTCGAAACCCGCCAGGATGTCACCCAGGATGAGGGAGGCGTTGGACGGCAGCTCGTAGAACAAAGATGTTGAGTCTCGGCGACGACGAAGGCCAGGCAGGGCGGCCACACACCCCGCCATCACACATACTCGGGGTGAAGAGGAATAAATATATCAGCCCTTGAAGACGTAAGGGTTAAACCAGTCTCCTCAGGGGTTAGCTAATTACTGGCCAACAACTCTCGGCATTAATATTAACGGTTGTGAAGGAGGTCACGCATAGCCTATGGTCGTCACCTCGAACCTCGGATAATAAGAGACAACAAAGAAACAGAAATAGGAGGAACAACAATTTTACCCAGAGCTAAGGTTCTCATGTTGACGGTCGTAGAGTGAAGAGACATTTGTGATATGGAGACGCGGCAGAAGCTCCTATATACAATATATCAAGGTGATGGTCCATCCCGACCTTGTGCCTCATACCACCACCTGTCCCTCTCCTCTTCACAATGACACTATTAAAACTCAAAAGTGGAGGGGTAACTTAACCAGAACCATTTTAACTGGCTACCACTTTCACTCCTGCTTCTAACAATGATTTATCTCATCAGCATCCTTCTCTTCTTCCCGATGATGTGAGATCAGAAGGTATAGTGTTTACATCATCAGTTTTATATATGATGAGTTTGGCATTTGAAACACAGATTATAGAATGCTTATTTTATACCTTGATATCCTGTCAATTATAGTTTGATATCATTCAGATTTTTAGTCCGTCAGAAACTCTATGATATATTTCCGTTTTCACTTTTTGTTTTCACTTCTTCAATCACGAGGTACAGCGCGGTGGGTCAGCGGTCATAACCTCACATCAACGTTTATCTGGTGGAGAGTCTGAGCAGCAGCATAACATGTTCATCAAGATAACTTACTAGGGTGAATGTCCGTCTGTCGCCTAACCTGCCCCATTATCTCTCCCCCTTGCCCCCTCCCCCCTCCTTTCTCTGCCTCTTGATCTACCCATCCACCCCTACACAGCATCCAGACTCGGCAGGGAGCTCAGATCCCCGTCTCAGGAATCTATTCTAGACCGGTTTTTCGGACGCTTTCATCTGTTTAAAGTGTGGCTAAGACGATCACAAGGTGGAAAGTGATGATGGTGACTGAGTTTCTTTTTTTATCCCCGGGGAAATACTCTGTTTTATGTAGGAGCTAAAGTTGAATTAGTTTAATTTTGATCATATTATTGGCCATCTTATAAAACAAACAAACACACAAACACACACACACACACACACACACACACACACGTAAACTTTTCTGCCGTAAAATATTGTGTAAAGATATGACTAATTGTTTACCCCTTATAGCCAACCCAGGTGACTACCACGAAATTAATAATGGGATTACCGGGCTAGGGTAGTGGCAGAAGATGGGAAGATGACAGATTGAAAGAATAGAGATGGAAAGGTTGGATGATTGGATGGAAGGGTAAAAAGTTGAGAGACTAAGGAGGAAAGAATGAGAAATAGACATGCCAAAAAAAGAGGTAAAACTAAAAGAGTTAACAGAGACGAGAGAGAAAAAAAAAGAGAGGGGATAAATGGAAAGAAAAACGGTAGACAGAATTGAAAGAAAAAATAGAATAGGCTTTTATATAAATGACGCGATCCTGACCTGACCAAACCAAACCATCTAAGGGTGTTTTTTCTTTGGGTTAGGTCATGTTTGGTTACTATGTGTCGTACAAAAAACGTTTGATACCTCTTCTGTACAAGACAACCTAAAAACGTTCTGTACATGTACAACACAAATTAAATATCCCCGATACATCTAAAAGGAACTTAAAAACTTTCAGTATATCTGTAAGACATTCACATATGATCTGAATGTGATTGCTTAAGTTTTGATATGTTTCAGGTCTTCAAGAAAACTGGGAAAATTTTTTTTTGGCGAGATCGATAAAAAAAATTTAAGTCTATCCTGTGCGTTTATTAATTTTCTTTGATTGATTTATACCCATTTTCTTTGAGAGTTAAATCAATTTTCTTTGATTTTCGTGTCGTCTTAGCGTGACTGACGACGAGAACCAAATTACTTGTTCCCCTTGTTTCTAAATGGCTGTATGTCTCAAAGAGGAATTACTAGAATGGTACTATACATTACTGTACATTACCATTTGAAGTGCAATACATCGTGACAACTAAGCACCCGACTTCCCTTAAGGAAAACAATGGCAGGGGAGAGAGAGAGAGAGAGAGAGTCTTCATTTTTATTATCGTCAGATCAGAGATTTTGGTTCTATTATATTAGAAAAAATGGCATTTTTTTTTCTTCTTGTTTGAGCATTTGTATGTCTCGGAAGGACGTCTTTCTTCGCTCCACACTCAGAACTAAGCTCTTGTTGCCTGATGACCAGTGTACTAAAGTTTCCGTCTATATACCTCAATGAATTAGTGCCGTAGTTTACCCATGGATGACGTGGAGTGTAAGCCTGTAATAGAATAATGAAAAAGCTGTAATATATACTGTAGTGTTCTAGAGGTCATAAACCTTTTAAAGAGTGTGAAGAAAGATTCAATTTTCATAGGCTACAATAATCATCATCGCCATCATTATTATCATTCTCGTTTTCAAAGATAAAATCTTCTATGATAGGCAGTCATGGTTTTTCCTCTGCCATAACACAATCGTCCAAATCTGTGGTTTATTTATTTGTTTCTCGGCGACCAACACCTGACGGCAACAAATGTCATTCGAGACAGCCGTAAAACGCATCAGATGAGCTTCGTTGTGGTCGGGTTTTGTTGTGGTCAGGCGGCCTTAACACTTGTAAAATTGTGCTCACAACTCCTCATAGCCCTAACCGATGTATATTGTACGTTTATTTTCTATAATAGATCGTTTTATACGACTATTTCTCTTCCTCAATAATATGGTCATTAGCCTCCTGCGTTTCAGGTCAAAAAATGTGTAAACTAATTATTTTGTTCACCTTCTGTAAGGACAATGTTCAAGGAAAATACTGTAAATTTTGAGACAATTTCTTTCATATATAGATGAATGTTATAAACAAGGTGAATAGTAGGACCACTACCCTGGCCGCAAAGTTAGAGAGGAGGCAGCGGAGACATTGTTGAGTCCTCGCGAGCAGATTGTGTTCATGACCGACCTACCGCTGCCCTCGTGATACTGAAGGGCAGGAGATGTTTTTATAGTGTATAACTGCGCTTTGGCACCGAGGACCACATCGGCCTCTCGAGTCACCTCAGAGCTCACTAACGAAGGTGACATCTTTATTCATTTTCCATTACCCACTAGCAATACGTTTACCATTCGTTAGGTGGCTGTAAAGTAGCTGCTTTGGCAGTCTACTGTCGTCCATGCGGGTAACATGGCCAGTCCAACGTAGTTGTTCATGGATAATGATACCCTCGATATTCCTACAGTTGGTATCAGCAAGAATACTGGCATTTGTTGGGCTTCGCCTTAGTAGCCTGTCCATCTTGCATTGTCTTTATCCGCCAGTAGTCGTTGGGTTCCCATGGTGGTCACCTCTTCCGCCTATACCGCCGTTGGGGTCCTGTTGGAGTTATGTATGTCTGTCGAATGCTGGGCTCCACCGCAGATTTTTCGCTCGGGGTTTACTCCCGTAGTCTTATACCTACCAGGGTTAATCCACAAGGCAATGGAGCAGTGGTTGATAGGCACCTGGGCGTGTCCACATGCCGGTGGGCCTTTGCACCGACCATCTGGGGCCCACTCGAGATGTTCGTAACTTAAATTAAGTCACCCCTTTGCCCGCCTATAGTATAAGTTAGGATATTACAGGCGTTTTAATCTCTCTGGGTAACTGGGGTGCTCTAGCGCAGAGTTGGTCAAGTTTAGTCTTGAATCAGCTAACACCCGGTGCCGCCACAACCAAGGATAAAATACTGGCAGGTTATTCTAACAGTTAGCTTTTACAATTATCTGTACTTGTGACTTCTTCAATTTGAGACCGTGACTGTGAAAACAGAAGTAAGCATGGCAGGAGTAATATTGTATAAATAACAGTGGTATCATTATTAGCCACAGCACAACAGTAGCAGAAGTAGAAGAAATAGTAGTAGTAATGCTATTAGTGAAGTAGGTCGTAGTCCCAGTAGTAGCACATAAAACTCATTACGGTACACGTAACCCTTCATGATTTTGCCACCGATAATCTTTGTTAATGTGAATCACCAATCAGCACTCTAGCACAGGGTGACGAAGGACAGACCGTATGTGGTAGAGTTGGCAACACTGGCATAAGGTTGCTCAGTGAGGAAGATGATAACATTAAATATTTTGGGGGGCCTGAATTATAAACAATACAAACGCAAAAATAAAAATAAAATATATATAAAAATGAATTCGGTATTAGTGAAACATTAATGAATTTCAGATGGTGGAATGAGAATAATCTATAAGTTAATAGCCTGCTTGAAAGAGCTAAATTCGTGTTATTAGGATGATCATAATTTTAAGGGCTATTTGCATGATATAGACAATACAAGACTATTAGCTATGAGAGACGATACAGACGATCATTTTTTTTAAATATCAACATGGTAACTCAGACACCACAAGGTATGCATAAGTAGACTTTCTATGTCCGTAGTCCTTACAGACTTGCACTGCGGGGGGGAATGGTATCTTCTTGAATTATTCATTTACGATGATCCGTAATAAGTACCTGGCTAGCATGTATCATCTAGGCTAACTGAGGTTAAGAGAGGTCATAGCTGCTCACTGTGTAGGGGATGAACCGACCTTAGCATCCGAAGGTGATTAAAATTTGTCAGAGATGATGTTTCAAACTTTACTTTTACTTGTTAAGCCGAATTTGGTGAGCTGTTTCATTAGTTCATCCGGACAGTGGAGGGCAGTAAGGGTCTTATCATCTTGTAAATATTACTTTATGAAATATGTTTTAGTAATATTAATAACACCACTTTTCCTGATTACCAGAAGGTGTTGTCAAGTCCAGGACACAGACAACAATGTTTTAAAGACCTTGGCACTCGAGGCGTCTTTACGTGTTATATCTGAACAACATTAACAGACCTCAAGTTACTTATAAATCAGTATCAAATAATAACAATTTCAATACAAGATAATGAATAGGAAATAGCTCTGGAAAAGAGTGTGTGTGTGTGTGTGTGTGTGTGTGTGTGTGTGTGTGTGTGTGTGTGTGTGTGTGTGTGTCATAACGCTACAGAAAGAGAATTTTCCAAACAAGAAATTCCTCAAGGCTGGCTTATAACATCACCATCATCTAGCTCTTTACTATTCAGCCATCGTCTATTAAGGCTTTGTTGTGATACTTGAGTCCCCCACCACTCCTCTGTATCTTGGATCAGATAAATAACCCCATATAAAGCTCTATAGTAAATCCACACTCAGACGCTGTGTCGTGATCCTGGCCCACGGGACGGTCACATTACCACCAGGTGAAAGGTGACCGAACACGCTGAGAGACTAACCCAAGGTGAGACTGGGGAGAGGAGGTCTTTGCTTCTGTTACTCATTCTCTTCTTCTCCTATTCTTTCTTCCTCCTTTTTCACTCTTCTTTGTTTTCCCATCTTCCTTTACTTTACGCTTCTTCTTCTTCTTCTTCTTCTTCTTCGTTCCCTCGTGTTATTATTTTATTAATTTCGTCTTCCTCCTCGTCCACACTTCGCTGGATAAAATACGTAGTGTGTGTGTGTGTGTGTGTGTGTGTGTGTGTGTGTGTGTGTGTGTGTGTGTGTGTTTCGCTTGCAATTATCAGAAAAAAATCTTAATTCATACCCTAACCTGCAGGAGGTACTGTAGGTGCTCTCGCATTATAACATACTGTAGATGCGGGTTGATGTATTTTACTTTCCTTATGGAGTTTCAATAAGGTTATTGTGGGAGTTTAAAATGATTTTTAGAGCAGAAAGAAGGTTCATGAAGTTCAGAAAGAGGTTTTCTAACACCATTAAGACACCTATCCTCCTTCCCCACCTTCCTCTCTTACACACATGCACTTTCTCTCTCCTCTCATTTCATTTACTTCCCTCCGTCTCCTTCCATCCTTCACCTTTTACATTATCTTCCTTCACTTCATATTATTGGTGGGCGTGGCGTCTTGTCTGCCTGGTCTCCGTCGTCGCCGAGACAGTAGTCCAGACTTCTTCGAGCTGCTGTCCAACGCCTCGCTCATCCTGGGGTCAATCACCTCGGGCTTCGGCTGTAGTGATCTGCCCTACGGCTACTACGCTGACGAGGCCAACAACTGCGCCATCTTCCACGTGTGTCTCCCCTACATCGACTTCGGCCAGATCATCACCAGATAGTTCTCCTTCATGTGTGGGGAGGGCACCGTCTTCGACCAGATGCAGGGCCATTCTTGGTTCACTGATGTATGGGTCGAAGGTTCCACATCAGTGTTCTGTGTTGAATAATGATGATGTAACGGAATTTTTCACCCTCTTTCTCGCTCTCTCTCTCTCCTTCACATACACACGACGCTACCTGGCTACAACACCCCTCAGTCACCTTCTTCATCACCCACAGGAACAATTGGTCTACGCTGACCTAGAAAACGCGACGCCCTGCGAGCTCTCAGAATCTTTCAGGTCCGTGAACGAATACTTCGGCCGCACTGAGAGGAACTTCCTAGAGTGAGAAAAAGGAGTCCTATCTCCTTTAGGATACCTGAAGAAGGAAGACGAATTAGCGACTGATATCCTACGGGGAGATTATATACAGTACAAAATATACATTAGAACAGAATATAAAAAATGTGTTTATGTAAATAGCAAACGAGTGTTATGACTTATTCTTGATGTTAAGTCTATCACAAGAGAAACTGTTGTCTATAGATGTATTTAATAGACTGTAAAACACACAGCTCAGGTAGAGAACAGGTAATACAGCTTAACAGTGTATTAGTCACCAATATTAAATATAATGGCTTTACTCTTCTCTTCAAGATAAATATAAAATAAATATGTAAATATATAACTAAGCAAGCCAGTGTATAGTACATTAATAAATACTAGAAGTTTGTAATTAATTTTGTAATTCTTCTTACACGTCACTTATAATTTCTCTATGGCAATCTTTAGTGTTTTATGTTATTCTGGATGTTCTAAATTAGTTAAACATTAAGTTCCAATTCCAAGCGTAAAGGGTTATTTTGGTCGAAATATTCGGCAAGTGCTTACCGTTTCTGACGAAATCTTGAAGATTTTGATTTCGTTCAAAATCTCAATATTATACAGATACACCTGAACTTCCTGATTAACTTGAAGATTATACATTCCAGTTTATTTCACTTGAAGATTAACTAACTTAACACTACCTGCGGGGGTTAGATTTGGTTAGGTTAGTATAATAAGAGTTAATCATTAGATAAAATATGCTGGTTGGGGCCAATCTTCAGGTGATCGGAAACAACAAATACTTCTAGGGAGTCATTTATTAAGTAGAAATCAATATTGTTTTCAAGAAGAATAAATTAAAAATGTTGATAACATTTGCAGATTTATTAAATTGAATTATATAGACAACAATAAAATTTGTACTTACTGAGAAATAATGTTAGTAATATTATGATAAACTTTTAACAATAGGACAGATACATGACAGTGTTGTACAGGAGGCTAAAGAAGGACGATTTTCAAGTTGTGATAAAGTTTCTTCAGGGTATAATACACATGTTGAGAGTATTAAAGGGATGAATAACTCGGTAGCTAAGACAACAGCACAGAAAACATATATTACAGCACCAAGAACAGTGTCCTAAAACTAGCTAGGAATGTTCAAAACAAAACAAAGAGTAACAGGACGATACAAAGGATGAATTAAAACTTGTGAATATTGATCATAGTGTTGCTAAGTTGCCATATTACGAGCAACAAAACCATTCTTATTACTCGATCGTCGACTATTCGAGGAAGTTCCTGTCGGTGCGTCCGAAATATTCGTTGACTCGCCTGTACTCGAGGGCGCTGCTGCAGGGGAGAGCGTTTTCCGGAAAGTCACAAATAAGGTTCTCTTGGTCGAAGACGGTGCCCTCCCCACACATGAACGAGAACTGTCTGGTGATGATCTGGCCGAAGTTGATGTAGGGGAGACACACGTGGAAGATGGCGCAGTTGTTGGCCTCGTCAGCGTAGTAGCCGTAGGGCAGATCACTACAGCCGAACCCCGAGGTGATTGACCCCAGGATGAGCGAGGCGTTGGACGGCAGCTCGAAGAAGTCTGGACTACTGTCTCGGCGACGACGGAGACCAGGCAGACCAGACGCCACGCCCACCAACACTGTGAAGGGTGATACAACAGGTGATAAGACTGGTATGGTAAGTAAACCCCTTCCCTTTACTAGTCATTTAACCTTAACCCTTTGAGGACAATGCTAACCCTTTGAGGACAATGCTAACCCTTTGAGGACAACGTTAACCCTTTGAGGACAATGCTAACCCTTTGAGGACAATGTTTAACCCTTTTTAGGACGTTGTTCAACCCTCTGAGGATAATGTTTAACCCTTTATACATAATGATTATAATTTACCGTTCTTACAATAGTTACGGGTGATCCATATGTTTCATCTTTTATAATCAAAGTTCTTGTTTATGCAGAGGAACAAAATCATACGACTTACACGTGTATGATGACTCTGGGGAATGGTTAGGTTAAGTTAGGTTATACTTCAATTATGGTTAGGATTTGGTTGGTTAAGGTTAGGGGTATGGAGAATGCACTAGTGACAGCTGCTATATTGTTCACATACACACGAAAATTTATCCTAGAAGCTTTGCATTACACTATAGTTACCCATCAAATTCAAACAAATTCATCAAATGCAAATAGTCATTTCACTCTATCCATAGATTTTAGCATTTCACAAGTGTCGTACGAAAACACAACCCACATTAGGTCGAAAAAAACAAACACCTGTCACTAAAAACACAAGATTCGCTTCCCACAAGAGATTTAAACACCAGTAGAGGTTTAAGCATCACTCGAGTAATAAACATCTACGTACCGATTGCCAGGAGGTACTTCATGGTGGAGTAACTGTGGATGTTGAGACCAAAGACGATGGAGGGCGACTGAATACCATGCAAAGATTTTGGCTCCTTATATACTTGTCCTGGGGTCCCGAGGAGAGAGGGAGAGCAGGAGATGGGATGGGAAGTGGAAAAGTAAGTACCCCGGTCAGTTGTTAGGTCACCTGGACAATTACTTTGGGTCACCTGGAAAGGGACGGAGGGAGGGAGGGAAGGGAAGGAGAGAGGGATAGAGGGATGGCTTGAGTTCATGTTCTGCGCCTTTCATTTTGTGTTCGTCTTTGTCTGTTAGTTAATGAAAGGAAGGTGAGGTGTGTGTTGATCTGATCTCTCTCTCTCTCTCTCTCTCTCTCTCTCGTCTACGGCACCTGATTAAAGAAAACAAATTTGCATTGTAATGGTCAATGCACTTAGAGAAAAATACAAAGTGTTCAGAAAGAAGAAACTTGTTTTTAATGTAGGATAACAATTTAAGTAAAAAAAAAACATTTCCCAGCATCCTTAAACATCTTCAAACATCTCCAACATCCTTCAACATCGTCAGCCCCAACACCCCCTGTCGCTCGCCACAAGTCTCGTTTGGATTCATTGCTCTTTCGAAATCGTATAACTTATCACCTCATTCCTCTTGGCTCACTTTCTAACCGCCTGTCCCTGCGCCCTGATTGTTCCCTTGACGATCATGTCCCCCCCCCCCTGGTGCTCCCTCCTTGTTCCCTTGTCCATCAGATCCTGGCTAATGCCGCCCTCTCACTCACAATTCCTTTCGTTCTTCTCTTACTTTCAGTTTTACGTCCATCGATTTATTATGTTTGGCGTTCTAGCTGACTGTTTTGTGGTTCGTTTTTTCTTTTTCCTTTATCTCTCTTTCTCATTTTAATTTCTTTGTGTTGATTATACTCTCACAAGCACTACTGTCCTCGCATTATGTCTTTATTTATCTCTTTCTCCGTCATTATCCTTCTCTGCCATTCTTTTTTTCAGACTTCAGCTGGAAAGACGTATGTTAGGACCACATTTTAACACCTGTACTGTAGGAGGTCCACAGTTCAAATAATATAAGGCCGCGTAGATTATGAAAGTCTTCTGCAGTACTGTGAGGCCACGTAGATATGTGAAATCTTATGTAAGCCTGTCGTAGTGTCATTATCAGTAGGAAGAGCGCGCAGCGTATAGTAAGTACACTGGATGCCAACACCACGCTCATCAGGACCTCTGCATGTAGCTGACGCAGAGCCTAACTAAACCAGGAACTAACAGGATTATGCCGCCAAGGAAAGGATCAGTCATATTACTACGAGGATAAGAGAACTCCGCGACCATAAACGGGCGTATATAGTCAAGGTCGTAGCCATTAGAAAGGTTTTATTTTCTCAATAGGCTGCTGGGTTCATTTTGATATTTTAGGGTTGGTATTGATTCGTTTCACTCTTTTATAACGCTGTGTCGTGTGTTCGCTTAGAAAGGTGTCTTATAGGCTACACGACGCTGCAGGTTTCGGAGAAGAAAACTAATCTTTAGAAGAGTATCGTCAATTTTGGGGGGATCCGAAATCAAATGAAAAGCTATATTCCAGAATTCCCTCGCCGAATTTTGCTTTAAATGAGTTTTTAAGGAATATGGAAAATAGTGTGTCTGGTCGTGTTAAGGCGAAGCAGAGAGCAGTAATTTATTCTCCTCAATTCTGAAGTCGTTTACTCATTAACCAAGATTATAAATGTAAAAACTAACGCCTCTTGATAAATCCAAAACAATCATAAGCAAAATCCTGTAAAGTTATATACATATATACCTTTGGCCATACTGTATTGAATGCAATACAGTACAGCACATAGCGGCATCGAAAAAAATTAACTATGGTACTATTCTTTACCTCGTTAACTGTGCCAGTCTAAGGCTATCGTAACAAAACCTGACTTAACCTATACATACTTTACCCAGTCGAATTTAACCTGAGCATTAATCTACGTACAAGTTGTGTATGTGAAGAAATGTTCCTACACTCTCAGACCTGCAGCAGAGCAGAAAGACTCGATTCTCCCCCTCTTCGTTACGTGCCGTTGAAACAAAGGTAGACCAGGAGGCTACCTCATCTTGGACGCCCACGACCGGTGATGGAAGGGACAGCGAGAGAACGTAGATCGCCAGGTACTGTATAGGGGCACGGCAGATGGCCCACCCGGCTGTGTAGCATCCCTCGGTGTCCACTCCTTATCTCATGATGTGTGTGTGTGTGTGTCCATTTAGTAAACCCTGTAGTTTGCTTTCATTTTGGTATTTTCTTGTCTCGTGGGATTCAATCGAGGATCCTCTTGGTAAACCTTTTTTTTTTTATCATAGACTGTAACGCTTATTGTTTATCATACTAAGTTAGGTGTTCTTTGTCAACTTAACCTAACCAACCAGAGACTTCAGTAACATCCATACCGTCACACTCCTTTCAACAAGTATGGCCACCAGCGCCCACAACGCCACATTAACCCCACGCCAGAACTACACAACTTTCACCTCCACTAAATCTACTTTGAAAATGTATTGCAACGAACACTTAAGGTGAACTCAAAAGAACTTTTCTATCACTATCGTCAGCACTAACACCATCATCACCAACAGTATCCACACCAACATCCTCATCACCATCAATATCCACACCAACATGAGAACCTACGCCAGTTACCAAAAGAAAAGTCTGCCTCAGCGTCACCAAAACTCACCAACACAAACAACAACAACAACACGTCACCAATACTAACTAGTACTCAGAGGTGCCTCCCAATAAAGGATTTTCTAGGCAGCGCTTCTCACGTTATAAAAACATATAAACAACGACTGTCCCTGTGTACAATCATTCTTTAGTTCTTCAGCCTCTGTCTCCTTTGCTCTGTGTCCATATTTCTTCTACAACTTCTTACGTCATTGCCTTCTCCCATATTCCAAATTTCTACAATACTTTTGGGTGAGTGTGTCTCCTGCTAGGGGATCAGAGGTCTAATATTAAAGACGTGGTCGGGTAACATGTGAGAGAATCTTAAGACGCTATCTGGCACCTCAGCTTCCCTGGCCCAGATGTAGATTATAGCTACTGACTGCCTAAGAAAGACACATCCACTCACGTGCAGCCATACCGGTGGAAGGATAACATTGCTAGTATTCAATTGCAGTTGTAGTTATTCTTGTTTTAGGCACAGAACAATCTTACTGTCTAAAAGAATGTTAAAGATGGGTGATCAGATCTTCGTAACGTGAGCATAGGAAGCGAAAGCTAGCCGGGATGAACTTATTGCTGTCAACTCGCTGGCTGTTCACAGGACTGTCCCCACACTTTCCCTTTTGTATGTGGCCCACTCGACCCCTTCAGCTAGACTCCCTCCTGACAGTCTCTTTTCGGTTACATTAGCAAGTTAAAAATGTTAAACATGTTCGTATAGTATAAAATCTCTCTTTATTTGTATATTTAATACTTGGGAAGTTGGTGAGATGAGAGACAACAGAGATGATATTGAAGGTGTGTACATTCCTTGTCCTCGCGGAGAGACACCATGGCATGCAAAGAGGAGAGGCAACACAGGGCGGTGCTGGGGTTGTAATATTCAGTACAGTATATGGCATCTGGCGGATGACAGTGGGTGGGTTATCGTGTCCAGCTTATACGCCTTGTAGAACCCATCGAGTTGTATGTTGAGAAGAGGTAAACTCCTCATCTCGTAAGACAATGAACAACCCGACGTAGGGTTTGGGGGCGCCAAACTCATACAATGAGGTAGGTAATAACAGAACACCGCTTGTTGGCACGGTGTATTAAGGCACTTTGACAACTAAAGTCTTCAAGTTCATAGTTTAAGTCAGAAAGTACACTAGTCATCAACAACGTATCAATTTATATATTTTCTCTTTGACTGAAGGAAAGCAATAATGGTAAGTGCTGCAGCTTGGTAACCTGGATAACCCAGCCTTCAGCCCCAGGCACACCCAAGAAGGTCTCACATGTGACTCCGTCTGTCCACTGAAAGAGTTGGTCAAGATCTGCCACCCCCGCCCCTCATAAAATCCTAGACCTGCCACTGTGTATCATGTATTGCTGAGGAACTGAGAACGAAGGTTTTTCTCTTCACTGTTAAAACTGGATTAAGGGGGTTGAAAGAAAGAGGAGCTTGTGCCCCTCTCCCCCACATACATTCTCATCGGGGTGGTTGTCAGCAGGTACAGTTTAATAGTTTGGGGCTGGTCAAATTAAAAGTTTTATTGTTTCGTGTTTTTTTTTTGTTTTTTTTTAATTCCATTTGTAGGACATGTCATCAATATTGTTATATCATAATTTATCAAGTAAAAAAGATTCGTTTAGTATCTTGGCACCAAGGCAGTACAGTACGTGTATTAATTAAAATTTTATTGGTGATGGAGAACCTCTCCCGCTAGCAGTACAGCCGACCATTTGTATCAAGAGTTCAGAAATTGAAATTGAAATTGAAATACTAAAAGAGTTCAGAGTAACTGGGAATCCACGAGCAAAGCGTTGAATCAGGATTCGAGCATTGAGCCACATCTCTCTGAACCATCAATGGTTTTGTAGATCAGTTGCTTAAAAAACGTCTTGTTTTACCTTTGGTAACATTAACTCAGGTTGTTATTTTCCCGCCAATAACCCTCAACATGTAATGTCTCGTCTTCGGCATTACAAGAGCGACTGCTAGAACCGAGTTTCGATTTGGTGGCTGGTTCATTGTGTGGGAGTCAACACCACAGTCGTGTCTATCAAAGCCATCATTAACTTCTCATGGTGTCAATTTATTCAAAAGTAAATATGGCCACACCACCCATCTGGTAATGTATTAATACAGAGGTTCATCGTTTATAATAATGGAATACAGTGACACTTATCGTGTGCAACACCACAACATGAATATCTATTCGAACTAGAATAGAAATGGCTCATTGTGTGGGTGAACTTTGGACCAGAGAGGACGGGGAGCCAAAGTCAAGAAAGATCTATATCTTTGCAAATATGGCAAGCGCGGGAGAACATAAATCTTTATTAAGATCGGTGACAATGAATCCCCACGGAGGGAAGAAATGCGCTGTGTGCAGGGAAGACAGGTTCACTTCCATGATCTTAAATTCCACTGCTTTCCTCAAGACTCGAGAGGTAAAGAAAAAAGCTCTAATGAATTATTAAATAAGGCATAGATATGTTAATTGTAACTCATTGTTGTTAGGCCAGATGAACAACTGATACTGGCACTTACAATGAAATTGACAATATCTCGTATTATATTGACCACGGTCGTACATGTTAGTTAACGTAAAATCAGGCGATTCTTATTACGCTCAATGGCCCATAAAACATGAAGCTGTAACTTCTTTATTGAGTCCCACAGTTAACACGTCCGTTTTCTCACCGCGTCAGTTTGCCTGAGTCCTCCGTTTTCTCTCATGTACCTCAGAGACTCTGATATTTCTTAATGCCTCATATAGTGTTCAGAGATTTGAAATTGAGAGTGAATGCATGTGTTTTACATTAAATTAGATATTTCTGATTACATATGAAACATTCAAGAACGCTTGTGAGTGATGTTTAAAGCTTCAACTGTATTTACTTTTAGTAAATAACCAGTTCTTCCACTCTGACAGGCGTGCTTTGTCCAGTCAAGTGCCCTTAAACACAGAAACAAAAACTAAACATTCTTATCTTGACGGTGGTGACAGTCTAAACCACTCAACAAAATACCATGAACCTTAAAATGTCATTGGGAGTGGCACCATTTTCAAATATACGATGAATGGTTTGCCAAGCTTCCGAGGAAGAAAAATACTCCGAGGATGGGCAGGATCAGGTGACACCCGAGAGCAATGCTGATTGGCGGGTCATACGACATCGTTGGGGCCAAAGACTGTGTGGTCTTTGGTATGTCTACTGTGTACAGTGTTCTACATTTTTTGAATACATTAATATTATAATTTTTATTTTATTTCATTAAACTAATCGGAAAAAAAATAGGAAACAGTACAGTAGAGTGAAGATGGCCCAATTCTTGGCCGACACTTGCCTGACCTGACAAGTGACACCACGTCGGCGCCACTTTTAAAGTATGGCCACACCAAACACAACCATTGTTTATAACATGTGATGGCGACTGTGTTATGAACAATGTTCAGACTCCAGTCCACACAAACGTAACATTGTTAGGAACTCTGTAGTAAACTTGCTGGATAACAGTTGCCCTATTTTCCAGTGGTTGTAATTATTTGTTGCAAGTGATATCATTTGCTTTAATGTCAGTCTTGTAAATAGTATTGTTATCTACTATTGTCGATTTTATTAAATTTACCAATTTAATATATTTAGTATTTCAGGTTTTATAATTAATTCTTGAATATATTCAACTATTTAAATGCACAGTACTGTTATAGTAGGATAAAATAAATGGTGGTTGGATGCATTATTTATTACAACACAAACCTTTTTCTCACAAACAAATGAATATGTTTTAAACTGATAAATGTGATTACACAAGGCAAAAATTATAAAATGATTTATGTTACGCTTTATTTAGTGTCACAGTGCAGTACACCAGTACTAATCATGTTACAGGTGGCAAGAGCATAACAGGTGAATCTGGGGTGGGTAAGGGGGGGTTGAACAGCCAGTTACAGTTTAGTACTTTGCACACCCACTATTCTTAGCAATTACCTCGTGTAGTCTGTTTGGGGGGAGACTACAGTATTAAATTGTACATAATTGTTTGCAGATTTTTGCATAAATGCTCTCACTCATCCTTCGTGTGTTAGAGGAGCGGCTGTGGTGTTCGGTCCTTGTCTATTTCCCACAATCTAACGAGGGTTCACCATATATATTCTATGGGGGTTGAGGTTGCACCTTTTGCTCAAGCACTCCAAAAGTTGTATGACCGGCCAAAAACTTCACTCTCATAACATCGTTTACCAGGATATGCACTCGGAAATTATTTGAGGTGAATTTTTTTGCCCAAATTCTATATCCCTTAAACGGTTGTTTTCCGGGCGCAGTGCCCGGGACATGGTGTTGTGAAGGATGTGAATTAAAAAAAAATATATATCAAAATAGTAAGTGACACTGTTGGTGCATCTTACAGACGCTGGCATTTAATAACCCTTAGCTGAAAGTTACCCAGATATAGTTCCAAAAACATTACAGTACTTACCACTTTCTGTTTATTCTAATTTCTCTTTATTTCACACTTCCTAACTCTTTTAATTTCCTGTCATCCTTCCCCCACCTCCCTCCCCTTTCCATTCACTGTCTCTTTTTTTTCAAAGGCTTCTTTTTTGTGAATTACTGTATGTATTACAGAAACCAAAAAATGTTTTATTTCCATTGAAGATTGTTCTTTAAAATATTAATGCATGTATACAAATACTGGCATAAACAAGTTTACTGTACTGGGAAACAGCCCATCAATCAGTTCCCTGGCCACATCAGCAAGGGAAGCACGGTATGGGGTTGTGGGGTACAGGTGGTTTGGTGCTGGGAAGGCAGCATGGTTACAAGCGTGATGTAGAGAGAGCTGGTTGGTGAGGGTTCTCACAGGAGGACCAGCTTGTGAGTCGCCATGCTCGCCGGCGGGAGCGAGGGCCGCCAGGCAGCGGCGGAGGAGGTGGTGTAGCTTGCTGCGGCTGTAGCTAGAAGAAGAGAGGGCACCACGAGGTCAGGTCTTAAATAGCAGGGGTAGGCGTGGCTTAGTAGTTGACCTCCGTGATGTATGGCGGCGCTGGTTGACCCAGACCACGAGGCATACACTGGGGAATTGGTGGGGTCGACTACTCAGCGACAAACAGCGTTTGTAGGGGAGAATTCCACTACATACTCAAGGAATATGTAAGGGTAAGATAATAGAAACATCATAGTCAACACCATGTGTGTGTACGCCTTGTTAATGATGATGTATTGTACCATGTAATAATTTGTACCCACCTGATTTCTTCTCCGCTGTTTTCTTTGCCTCTCACTGGTACTGGCGATTCAATTATTTAATTTTTCCTTTCTACCTCTGCTGTCTATATTTAACACTTGGGAAACCTTTCACGCATCCGTCTTTATAACCTTATTTGTTGTAATCTACATTTGTGGGATCCCACAACAATGGATTGGAGTGATATACAGTTCACTGTTCGATTAGTATGAACACGTTCTCTTTACTCCACTTCATGCTGACTCAGGTAGACTATGGAACTATCTACCACACACCTTTCTCGTCACCTAGGCAGAATGTTGCGACCTGAAGTCCACATCAGTGCTAACTACCAGTGTTGCTAATATAAATGTCATCACTGGGAAGCAGTTGTATGTTACCAACACTGTTCCCATTTATAATGTCGCCAACATGTTTGTGAAATCGTCATAATATTGTTGTTAACAGTGTAGCCAACACCTGTTACTGAAAATATTTGCATTGCATCCACATCAGTGTAACAATGTCGGTAACATTGTCATTTACATTACGGAATAACGATGGCATCATTGTTACACACACCAACAGCCTACACCAGCTGTTGTCCACTGTTTCTAACCATGTCCCAACAATGTTACTTTGAAGTGGCCACTCCTTTACTGACCAGCATGTTAGTGCATTTGGTTATGCCACAGTTATGGAATAACACTTAGCCAGATCATTATTATTGTTGTTATTAAAAAGCTACCAATATGTAGCGTACACACAGTAATAAAAGTATCGCACAGGGAAGTCTGCTGACTTCTGTAATGATCTGTACATCACCTGATGTGCCGGGAGGGTTGATATGCATGCCTGTATGGGAAAGGTTTCCTTCTACCTATGGTAGGGCAACAGATAATATGTGAAGACACCCTCGGGCAAGGACAGCAGGGCTACCACCATAACACAGGACCAACACACATATTCCACTATCACTCGTCCGTGGTGTCATATTGTTTCGCACATCATCCGTGCGGTACTTTTTTCACTGTGTATATGTACATTAAAGATTTATATTTAAATATCATAACATATGAAGCATTCACATTTAAAATAGTAATTTATGAGTACATGTGCTGGAAAATTAAGTTTTCATAAAATGTGTTGAGGAAATATAGTGTTTAATGTACACAAGCTAAAGAGGAACATACACTCCTGCTACCAATACAGTATGTACTGTACAGTATATACAGTAATTATAATACAGTATACTGTATCATAATAGCTAATCGGTTTGTATTGAAAATACTTTATTAATTTATAAAATATATTAATACTTTCTCTATAAAATGTGCTCAGAGGAAATATTAGTGTGTTTTAACTGACAAACTGGTGAGAATAAACCCAAGTATTGTTATATAAATTTATACAATATTATGATTTTTATTGAAAATAATAATCTATAAAATATAATGTTAATAGTGCTTAGGGGAAATACTGGTGTGTTTTAACGATGCAACACTTATGTAAGCTCAAGTGTATCTTGACACATCGTTCTGTAGGAATTGTCAGCTGCTACACTGCATCTAGTCAAAGGTCAACGATGTTCCTAAATATTTGAAGAAAAAAAGACACCCATTACTGGGAATATTCTGTACTGTACCGAGAAGTCCATCATTGAGATCTATTGTACAGTAATAGGCAGTTCTCTCAGTATCAAGGCACATGATTTTTGGTCATGAGAAATTAACTATCAACAAATATTGTGCCTTTCTTTCTTACAAGTGACAATATTTAGAAATGCAGCCATAGAAACCCCCATGAATCAGGATTTTCTTTAATACTGTAGGATTATATTTTTAGTACTCCAACTGTTTTTGTTAAATACTTTTTACAGCATCCAGCTTCTGTTACCTTCCACTGTGTACAAAATAAGACATGAATATTAGATCCCTCCAGAATTAGCAAGTCCTAGTAATCATGTTATAAGATACAGAACAGTACAATACAGTACTGTATAGTACACTGAAATATTTAAAACATCATGATCATTTTGGGGGGGGAAGTCCATATTACCTTTATATATATCAAACTTTTAATGGATTTCATGATGAACACATTCATAAGCTTTTAGCTCAGAGGAATGAGTCATGGAATGATTTTGTACATGGTGCGGCACACAAATGACATGACAGGATTTATCAAAATGAGAACAAGAGCACCACATCAAAACAATACTGTAATTTTTTCACAGTACACAACATGACAGTTTGAGAGAGTCTATTTAGGTATCCATTAACTCGTATCTCACACTTATATATCCAGGGCTTAGCTCAGTAAGGGTCCAAGCCTATCAATTGAAAAAATACATATTTTCTTCAGATTTCTGGAGAAAGCATAAATTTATACCTTTTCATTATGTACATGACTCAATTCCTAACCTAGACCACAGTGAATGAATTACCATATTGCACCATGACAGTGTAATGACAGTTAAGAATTTGCAGAAAAAAGACAAGATGGGGCATTAAATCCTTACTGAACTACACACTAAATATTGGCCTGCAGCCTCAATAGAAATTTCCCGTTGAAGATCACTTAAGTGAAACAAATAAGCAACAAAAATGCTCAATCCTTCTAAAAAAAAAAATATACAATTTTGGTGATACAATAGGTAAATACAGTACAGTACAGTAATTCTTTAAGATGACAAAGGTTACCAGTACTGTAGGAAGTTAGACAAGTTGTTAATACCAATCAATATACAGTAACGGTACCTTCAAGTTGTTAATACCATTCAACACAATATCTTCCTGACTGTAGACAGTACATAAAGAAAACTAACACCGTACCTTATTTAATAAAAAAAATTCTGAAGCTTCCACATTTTTGGACAGAATTAATTTGGTATTACAGTTACCCCATTAAAGATATCAAGTTTACAGTGAAATTTTGAAGACCTCAGTGTTCCACAAGACTAAAAGAAATGTAATATACTGTATACATACTTACAGTTAACATGTTTTTGATAATTTCTTAACATATGAAACTGTATCTCATAAATTTTGATTATTCATGACTCAAATATAAATTTTTAACCCATTGTTCATCAAGGTGGAGTGAATGGAACACTTACAAGCAACAGTCTTATTTACAAGATAATACAATAAGGTATAGTCAAATTTTATGGCCTTGTATGAGTGTACTGTTATAACATATGCATAAATCGATATAAATCCTTGGGAAGTGAGCACGTGTAAATAGATTAAGTAAACTGTTACTCCTACAACTGCACATAGATTTTTATATATATATACAATGTCTAGCAAACAAATACTCTTTGACTCGTGTAAATTACTGTATTATTCAGAGCAGGTGAAGGATGATGCAAAGGTTGATAAAATCTGAAATAGTGCACCCATCATTCTCACACTCGCTCACTTCCTCGGTGCACCCACTCTTAAAGAACCTCAAGCTACTCACAAATGCAAAAGCAAAACTGAAGTCAAGTCCAAAAGTTTGCATTAATTCAAGCACTGTGTAGAAGCAAAACAGTGCCTCAAACCTTGACTGTAGTTTTATTAAGGTCATTCATCACCGTCTGAAATCCATGTTTAGAAAATTAATATCTGAGTCCCTGTCATCATCAAAATATAGCTACAAGTCCCATCTTACGGGATATAAAATTTATCTCGCCATATGTTGCTGCAGCATGTGTAGCCAAGTACCAACAAGAGATAATCTAATGCGCTGCAAATAAAAGTGAATGAATGAACCTGTTCACATATAGAATGGTCCGACTTGAGACTACAGATATTAAAAAAATATTTAAATCCTTTTCCTCCCAGTTCTTATCCGAAATATGAACTACTTGCATGTTAGAACCTTTGAACTTGATTGTGTAACAGCCAATTAATTTACTCATTAAATGCAGATGTAAGTCTAAGCATATCATGGAATAATCAATGTCTGATAAATTAACTGAAACCAACTTAGTAGTAAAGTCTACCCTCTACCCTGAATTTGTATTGAATATACAGTATTATCAAATGAATAGTTGAGAACATTTAGTCATTTCCTTAACCAAAAGTGTTCCTCAAAATACAAAAGTAAAATTCCTCTTCAAGTATAAGAAAAATATTAAAAAATATAATACTGTATACAAGTTTATAATGTGTGTAAAACTGAATTTCAGATGAAAAACTTTCAATAATATAATTTAAGTACACAATATACTAGACTTGTTTCAAACTACTGTATGACCAAGAAGCCCTTCAATTACAGTATTATCTAAGAGATAAATACTTATGGGAATAATCAATGTACAGTTTAACAATAATGAGGAATAGATTTTCAAAAAGTTTTCTTTTACCTGAAACAACATAGGCCTATACAAAATATTGGTTACTCAAATTACTGTTATTGAAAATAATGAATAAAATATCGCAATACACTTGAGTATCAGGAATCCAAAATGCACGAGACCAAGAGGTAAATAATGGAAGTTTGTTACTCTAGAAGTACATATACAGTACAGTATTGTACGTATACTCTACTGTATATCTAATAAAAAAAAATATTATTTTAACAAAATGTGGCCCACGATCGGTTACAACAAATGACAATACAATAAACTGTATTTACATAAAGATGGAGAAGTACATACTTCACTAAATTACTAACAAAAAATGTCACTGAAATTTTTACTGAATGTTCCATAATACAATGCTGTAGTCAGTACAGTACAGTACAGTAGTAGGACTGCCAGCTGCATGTTATCAACCTCATATTTCATCACTGGTTTTGTAATTTCACAAGTTTTTTCTTCACTCAATTTTTAGCATTCCCTCTCTTAATACTCAAAAAGTACTGTTACTACACTCACCCAGAGAGCAGCCACACACACAGCCAGTCTACCCAAGCATGCACGTAACCCAAATTTTCCTTATTTATACTGAAGTTGTACAGTACGTATATGGAAAACAAAATACAACAGTACAGTATTATTCTGCAGTATGTTCTGTGTCTTTATTCAGATACTGTATGCTAATTAACTTAAAAGCTGAAATGTTGAAAAATGAATAGATAAGATATAGAGGAGGTTGGAGTCAGCTAGCGTATCTGTACGTAACTGGAGCATCAAAGAGCTAAAATGAACTCGGTGGCTCCTGCTGTTTCAATAATGATATCAAGATGATGTTTATCCATGCTGGATACTTTGGCTACACCGTTTTTTTTTCTTTTCACATGGCCTTAACTGATTTGCTATTAGCATATAATTTAGGTAATTTGTCAGGCAGTTTCCTTAACGAGTTTTAGAAGAATTTTCACCTTTTCTTTGATTTTAAACACATCATGTTTGCTTTTTGCACTACGCCACTCAGTATCATAACTTTTTCATTTGTTTTGAGACATCTTAGGGGCAGTATACCTGGTCAGCACCCACAATACTGAGTGACAAAAGAGTAATGCAGAGGACACAACACCTCATCAGTTGATCCCACCTAGGCTAGGTCACCTGATGAAATTTAGAGAGCATTTTTAATTGAAAACGCTTTGAAAAATAGATTTTCAGATTCCTGATCCTCAAATGTACCTTACAATTTGCATTAAAATGTATGTGTATATATGTGCATGCGTGTGTGTGTGTGTGTTCAATTTACTTTCATACCAAATTAAGGTCTAGTTATCAATATTCTTTCCAGAAAACTTGAATCATTAAAATCAGCTGGAAGCACATACAGTACATGTAATCAAGAAAGGCTGTACCATAATTTCTACTTCAAATGTTCATGAAGATCTTCACACATATATATATATATATATATATATATGTATATATATATACACGCAATCAGAGTAATATATATATACTGTATATACACATTCTTACAACAAAAACTTAAGTGTTCTACAACTATTTTATAACATTAAATAATAAAAAAAATATTTCTTTCTCCAACAAATTTCAAAATCCTTAGGTGAGTTTATATGAACAGGAGGTAAAGCTTATGATGTCAAGTAGTGTCTCCAGCACCCACAACACTAATGACTCTTCTTGCCCACATGACCGAGCTTATTTATGGATATACAGTACTGCACAATCATTCCTGTAGCTTCTTTATGATCATTATTACATATCATGACCAGGTGAAGGCTTTTACCAGGTTACCATCCTCATTTTGTATCCAATCACTATAGTATTTCATTACAATTCTACTGCATTTATAATCAACACATTATCTTATGACAATATTCCGTGTAATATTTCGCGACTAAGTGCAAAATTTAACATTGAATAGAATTTAAAAAATTACTAGATATTTTCCAGATTTTTTCAAACTGCTAACTTGGAATGCTACCAACATATGAGTCATAACTATGGATATATGTACAGCCGCCTGCACTTATACCTGGTAAAATGACTGGCACGTTTTGTGGGATGCAGCAACTGTCTGTTTACATTGTATTAAAACTCCCAGAATGGCCCTAAGGAACCTCACAATAGTAGCCAGACTAAGGATGCTAGATAAGCATTCTACAGAGTTGCCACATCTCACAAAATGCGCCAGACACTGTAGCAGGTATAAGTGCAGGCAACTGTAGGTACATTCTTTTATATGTGTTCTAGATACTTGTCAATAAAGGTACATAACTCAACTATACAAATAAAGAACATGGTTACTAAGAGCAACACTAATGCTTGCACAGGATTTTGTTTTTCTACATTATCTCTACTGTACTGTACCATGTTTAAAGTCTTGAGAGCTGTTACTGGTATAAACAAATATAGTACTTCAACCTTTTCCGGAGAAATGGTTTACGAAACCAGTCTAAGTCATTTGTAATAAATCTATTCATACAAACAGGTCATGAATTTTAAGTTACCATACAGTACATGGGTATTCATTAATACTATCATATTTCTTGTCCTGGGCAATCACCATTATATGTATAATTTTCAATGATAGTATTACAATTTATATATCGATAATACGCCATTCCCTCCAAGGGACACAGTAATATCCAGATGTTCCACATACACACATATGGCATCCACAAAGTCTGGACAAGGTTCTGAACAAGTGACTATCTTGAGTGTAAAACAACACACCATAATGAACATATACAAGAGTCATATTTCTTATGAGATTGTCAGCAGTGTGTGCCAGAAGGAAAAAAATAAAAATAAAAGGGATTCACAAGAACCTAAAACGTCTTTTGAAAACTTACTAAAACCATTTTACTGTACGGTACTTCCCGAGCAAATGAAAAATGAAAAGGAATGACCGCTTCTATAACTTAAGAATAACCATTTTTATTTCTAAATAAAATCTCCAAAGAATAAAAACAAAAAGATATTAATTATTTAGCTATAACCACCTTCCATAACTCAGACACAGCCAATTAAAGCCCTCATGACACGGGAGTCACTGGTCACTTGAGCCTCACTACCACTGGCTCCCAACCTAGTCTGAATTGATCATTAGGATTTGGGCCAAGTTCCTAAAAAGCTCGAGATCCGATGGACCCCAATTCTAATAGGCCTAAATCCTAATGGTTAGAGTAGATTGCACTTCAGTAAGACTGAAACCCTCTTGACCTGAAAGTGATAGAAATCAATTCAAGATTGCTTAACATCATATACCAGAGTAGATATCAAATTCTGAAGATATTAAATGTATTTTTATTTCACCCATAGAAGTAAAAACAGCTAAAAAACCTACTATTTGCACTCTGAATCATCTTCAATATTTTCAAAATTCTCATCATCTGTTAAGCAGGAACAGTTAAGCATTGACAATACTCACAAGCTCATTCAAATTTTCTGTTGGCTCTATTAACACTTACTATAGTCATTCACATCCACCTTTATAAATTACCAAAATCTCTTCTCATCCATCTTAATCTATTAACAAAGTCTGTCGGGAAAACATACACGTAGTTGCAAACACATCCAATATTACTTACAAAAAGCCCCACCCACACACACATCCACCCACACGCATGCACACACACACAAGCATATGCACACACACATACCCAAGCATATGTATACACATACATACCCCAGCATATGTATACACACACACATACACCCGAACATATGCACATACATACACCCGAGCATATGCACATACACACATATCTATACATGAGATGCATCCCCTTACACACACCTATGCATGAGCCACATCCCTCTACACATACATGCATGCATGCACAAACCAAATCATAGTGCTCCTTATAGAAATTAAATTTTACCTACCTGACCTCTTTATCCCCATCAACATCCCTTGTGCTGCATTACCTTTAGATAACTCCTCCCCAACCCTCCCTTATAACAAATCTAAATTTTTATCCTCATAAATTACTGTCAAACCAATATTCCCCCTTTAAACAGAAAAAGCATTCCCAATTTGTAAGTTCTAAAAATCAAAAGTGTACATTATTCTCCTAGAGCTCGTCTCTGTCAAGCAGTGTGTATCTGTTCTTAGACGGTGCCAACTTCTTGAACGAAGACTCAGGTGGATTGGTCGGTTTTTCCTTCTTCACATTTGGATTCGTAGTGTCTGAATTGTCTGCAATCTGAAATAAGGATAACGAGTTGTAATTACAGTACGTCCAATAGTCCAACACTGCATGTCTCCTACCTACTACTGTCTACCAGTCTGTCATGTTTATCTACCCCAAAAACCATCAGATGGCCATTATTTTCTTAGTATCATCTGCTATAATTTTTGCAAAGCTCACCAAAAAATCTTCCTTCGGTTGTTCCTGTGTAATGAGTAACATGACAAAAATTAAGGATAACAGTGACAAAAAATAAATCCTAAATACCCCTCCAGTGAATCAAAAAGAGAGTAAAAAGACTAGCCATGGGATGGAATATTTCAGCAGGATCCCTAATAACAGGATCATGAGAGACTTAGGAGAGAGTCGGTGTTTAGGAGAGATGAAACAAGGAAGCTGACTTATGTGAGTTACCAACACAGAAACATACCTGCGCAGTTTCCTCAGTAGTTTCTTGATCAGGGCCATAATGGAACTCACGATGAAGCTTTCCACTATACAGATCAGCCAAAAAACTCTTCATTTTCCCCAGAATATAAGCCTCATTGTAATCTGATTTGAGGGAGAATAAAAGGAGATTATCATTACAAAACACATTATCAAAGACCTAAACAAATGAAGCTCCAGCTATCCCTATCCACTCACCTATACTCAAACCATCTCCCCACATCATTTATGCAGTTTCATTAGTCTAAAACTGTAATACCAACAGGTGAGGAAGGTCTAATCTGTACTATATGTTTCATTCTTTCTTTTAAAAAAATTTAATAGTGCTAAAATCTTATTCAGTATCTGTTTGCCTGGTCAAGGGAAGAAGTTTTTTACCCAAGAATGAATTTACAGAAAGCTATCAGTCAGACAATGAGCCACACAGTGATGGATAATGTCAACCCTAATCAATTGAGCTTTTGACATGTGAAACTATATTCAACATTTTGCTCCACCCTAATATGATCCTTATAAAGGTACGATTTTGTAAAAATCTATTTTTAAGAATAAGTAAAAGGGAAATGTTAATAAAAAAAATAAACATTCAACATATTCCTTTGGCTTTATTATTTAAGACCATTAAACAACAGCTACATCGTTTTTGAAACTGTGGTTTGCTGATTCTATGCGGGACAACTGCCAACTGAACTATTTGTGTTTACATCAAATTTGTATTACAATAAATATGTGGTGCCTACTTCCTGACTGTTTTGATTGTTAATTAATCCCTTTAGAATATCTTCTTATCTCCTTTATTCTGGCTACCACCAGACAATTCTATTCAGCTGGGGGAAGTTCCGTCTTGTAATCAAGGGGTTAAACAAAGCTTCGCTGCTTCTACAAGATATAGATTCAAACATATCCACAATCCATTTGTTCACAAATGCCCCCTTTTGCAAAGGAACATTGTTGGTATTGTCAAAGCATTTTTCTCATTTTGTAATCTCTCCCAACTGATACACACTTTCCCTCCACACCCCTAATACTCAGTCTCCCCCACATTAACCCTTAGGCCCCGGTGACGCTCCAGAACGTTCGACCAGCGCATCCCTGGGTGACGTTCCAGAAAGTCCACACATTTTCCCGCCTTTTTTTTATTATTATTATTTTTTGGAAAAGTTAATTTTTTTCTAGATTTATCCCCGCGGGGGGAATACTGCCAGCAGCACCCTAACCCGGGGCTTAAGGGTTAAGGCACACCCCTCCCCTTCCCCTCGCTCACTAGCGAGTGGTTTGAATTCACACTTTAGAGAAGGGATTAGCAACGGTAGGTGGTAAACCCAGGAGTGGAGCCAACTGTACATATGCGGGCAATTGTACTGTAGTATATGATGAACCAATGTCAACTTGCATGACAATTTTACTTTAAAACTATGTACCTATCAATTGATCTGTTTATCTATCTATCTGTCTTTTGTCTGTTAATGTGGTCTGATTAACAACAGTAACAGAAGAACAACACTGGCAGACAAGTGATGACAAAAAATAAGACATGACAATCCTAACTGCTTTGTAAGGTTGTCTATATAAAAGGCAAAACAATGCTAATGTCATGATAACATCGAACTAATACTTACCAGGGAAGAGATACATGTGTCTGAAGGAGTCAATAGCAATGAGTGGCAAATCCTTTTTTGACTTGCCCAGGTGATGAAGAGGATGAGCGAACTGCACACCATCTGCAGTCAGGAAGTTGACATTTTCTGTTGGCATAATAAGGTATATCAGCAGCAGCAACATCAAGGTAATCCTCTAGCACAGAAAAATGCTTGAATTTCATGTGCTGGAAATTTCTCAAGCTAAATGGTCTCTTATGACCTATCTTATATAAAACACACATTTTATTCAAGAGTCATAAGAAGATAAGGAGTGAGAAGAGTAAGAAAGAGTAAGGAGCCACAGGAAGAGGAATGAGTAAGAAGAAGAAAGTAAGAAACAGGAGAAAATTAGAGGCAGAGGAGTAAGAGTAAGAAGAAAGAATAAGAGTAAGAAGGAAGAGTAGGAGTAAGAGGAAAATAGGAGTAAGATAAAAGAGTAGGAGTAAGAGAAGAGTAAGAGTAAAAAGGAAGAGTAACAGTAAGAAGAATGAGTATGAGTAAGAATAACAAGAAAATGAAGAAGAAGAAAAGAGAGTAAGATGAAGAACCACTCTAAATATTATATGGGTCAAAAGTTGGAGAAAAGGAAAGGATGATGATGCTCTGAACATCTGGCTTCACAGCTTCATTAAAACTGCCAAGCTATGATGTATGACTTGTTACAGAGGCTGCATCAGCTTTGGCAGAATAAATGAAGGGAGAATTGCAAAATGATAGAGGAAGATGCAGGAAACCCAGTAAAATAATATATGGTTTATTCAGGTGTGCAGGAAACAAACAACCTTTGGTATACATCATTTGTGTGCTAGAAAAGCTCCGTTTTGTTTTGATAGGCGTGTTAACATAGGTACACTTACGGCATCAGGAATCGAGTCGGCTGTAAGAATAACTGGCGGTAACACAGGAAGGCAGTCTTTTATCATGACTGGAGTATTTCATGAACGTTCTCGGTCCCTATCTTGTGAAATAACCCGAGGCTACTGCATCACCCATCAACAGCATCTCCACCCCTCACAACTGCTAGACACCAAGCTTTCCCATCCCACAGACACACCATCCAAGAAAAAATTTATTGTCTCACGTTTTTCATCAGCAAGTTCTCCTTGTACAAGTGCTGTGTATTTCTTGATGCTATCTGTATCATCTGGAGCATGGAAGAGAATCAGGAAAGGCAGCCCCTCTTCAGTTAACTCTTCTGCATTCTGAAATTAATCAAGAATCTATGAATATTAACAAAGAAAATATGTAAATGACCTATTCAAAAAGCTTCTTCAACCAGTGTTGGCATCATTATCAAGATATTTATACTGTACTGTCCAAACACAATAATCCTGCACTTATACCTGGTACAGTTTTGTGAGATGTGGCAACTGTGTGTTTGTTTACATCTCACAAAATGCACCAGCCCCGTACCATTCACAAAAAACAGGGATGTACACCCTTAATAAGCAGTACTGTTCAAGATTCAGTTTTTACCAAATAACTGCAGTCCTAGTCCTAAGTAAATATAAAGAAGCCTAATCACCAACTGGCACACATTGTGTAACTAGAGACTTGTACCTATTGGGAAAAATTTGGCTCCAAGACACAATAAAACTACACTGAAAAAAAGCACCAAACATCCACACCAAATATTCTTCTTCTTCTACACTGCTAAAAATTTTAATTAATTCATAAATACTGCAGCACAGAGTCTAGTTTAATGGCTTGAGATGTAGGGAAATACTGTATGTACTGTACTACTAAGTGATGTAGGGAAATACTGTATGTACTGTATTATCAAGTGATCACCAGCAGTCTCCTAAGTTTTCTCCCTCTTCAAATTGCCTGCCTCACCTCACCTCACCACCTCCCTCCTCCTCACCTCACCTCACCTCACCACTATGACTCCATAGTGTAAACAAAGTCTGACTAAAGCTGACCACAAATGACAAGTGTAAACTGAGTATAAAACATACCTGGTACTGTACGAAATTAGCTTTTGATAATTCTTATTATTGAGAAATTGCTTTCACTTCAAATTTCATGTCCCTAATTTATATATAATGTTATTGTCATACAGTAGTACATTATGAAGAAAAAAAAATGAATGAATGATAAGTGAATACACGAAGCTATTTTTTCTAAACATTCACATTGCATTATACCTTTGATTGTCATCCCAAAGGCAAGAACTATAATGTTAATGCTTTCCATTAGGTGTTTCAACACAACTTCATGAAAGAGATGAAAATTATTGTAATCATCTCTAAAAATGACCACCAGGAATAGCATCAACCAAGTATTACACATTAAACCATATCTATGTAAATTAAGAGGAGGCATTCTTGACATAACATTGTTACTGTAAGAGAAGAGACACTGAACATTAGCAGACACTCACCTGGAATGTGATCTCACGCACAAGTGGAATGCATCGCTCGGTGGCCCAAATAGAGACCTCATCATAGGACATGAGAGAACCAATGAAGGCATCATCTTCCATAGTTATAGAAGCCTTAAAAGCAATGATACTTTCCCCAGGTGGATGCATGCTGCGCACTACATCTCTGTTTAGATAAAAAATATATATAAATAACACCAACAATGAAGCCCCTAATTAATGCTACACAGAATAGACAATGAGTCTCCCACCTTCAACAGGAACACAACAAAAGGTCCACTAGTTTTGCAGAACAATGCACGTGTTATAATATATACCTTGTGGATGGGACAATAAATGTAGCTACTACCGGTATCATTGACAATTTATTCACATCAGTTTCCTTACATCTGACTATCAGCCTCCTCTTTACCCATCTAACACACACAGTAAGCTATCTGTCCGGTAGTATCTTTCCAAAAACCTTTATAGAAATATCCTGAGCTTCAATACTTTAGTGGAGAAAAGTTACCAGGATAATGGAGTAGATATATGGATCACTTGTTCATATTACCCTTATAACTAATCGGATAATTACCATGTCTATAAAACTGCATAAAAAAAAACTAACTCACCCAAATCCTGCAAGGAACTGACAATCATCTTTGAGGTTGAGTGCCACCTTCTTGAACACCTCGTACTCGGGCACATCCTGGCGCTCGAAGTACCCAACCACAGTTCTCTTGGTCTCCTGAGAGAAACAGTAGGTATTGATAAAGACAGAACACACATTAAACATCTGTTCACACAACTTTCTTATCTTCATACTAGTGAGTGATGGGTTGGTAATGTGAGGGTGAGAGAGGTGGTGATGGGTGGGTTGGCTATGTGTGAGAGGTGGTGATGAGTGGGTTAGCTATGTGTGAGAGGTGGTGATGGGTGGGTTGGCTATGTTACACATACATCATATCAATCCACCTCATTACTCCTTCATTATTGACTTCTTCTGTGCTGCAACAACAAACCAACATAACATTAACATAAACCAGACTGGGTCATACCTACCCTTAGTAAAGACATCATTAGACACCAGCTTTCCATCTCTCGCAACAAAACATATCTGACCCACCTCTATATTCTGGATCTCATTTAGTTCTTCCATTATTTTTATGGGGTCCTTCAGCTGTTCTTTTATGAAGGTGGCAAAAGCATCTGCAGATCTCTGCCCTCGGTATTCCCGTTTTGAAGTCTGACCATTCCGGAGAAGTTTCAGAGTAGGATACTTGGTGATGTGGAAACGCGAGGCAATGCTTGCTGCAATAAAGTGACACATTTTAACTACCTATTAATAAACATCAAATTAGAGGATATATTGTATAATGTGTGAAATTTTAACCAATCCATGGATTTGTTGAGCCATGGTCCATGTATGGGTCTCTACAGTGCAGAGCCTGCATAAAGTGAGTTCATGAGATAAAAGATCGATCCTTCTAGAAATTTTAAGAACATTCTATACAAGGATCAAATTGATCTTCATAATAAAAAAAAATTTTGCTACTCAATTTGAAGCCCATTGAAGCTTAGGGTCCTCTGGGCTCCAATGTCCTAGTGAGACTCAACTTACTGTATATGTGCCACAAACTTACTCCTTCACTATAGGGAGAACACTCTTGATATTTTATTTGGCTAATATTTTATTCAGCTGAGGAAGAATCCCATACACAAGAGGTTGGCACCTTAAGGAGCAGTGTTGCACTATGTATTTATTCTGGCTAATATCGGAAAATTTTATTCAGCTGAGAGAAGCCCCTGCCACTCAAAGGAATAAGATTAAATCATTATTTTTTCCATTAAAACTGGGCCTTACTACAGTCTGTTCACTCGAACCTTGCAACTGAGGCCTAGGATCAGTTTGTAGCAGGGCAGCTGATTGGATGGTGGACAGACATGGGAAAAGTCACTACAGCTCATTAGTATTTAATCTATCATATTTATATTCTGATATTTTAAGGGATAATAACTATTCTGGGTTGATCTCTGATAATTTACACACTTAGAAAAGTAAAAATTATCAAGTGAAATACTCTGGTAACATAAATATCTTAAAGACAACACAAAAAGATCACAAAATCTCAGCGACATAGTCTACCTCACTGTGTGACGTCACGTGGCAAGGAGGCATTTACTTCCCAGAACTTGTTCCTCATGTTCGTGTTCTTTCTCATATTTCTATTACCAGAGCATTCCATGTGCTGATTTTTGCTTCCCCAAGTGCGGAAATTATCAGAGATCAACGCAGAATAATTATTATCCCTTAAAATATCAGAATATAAATACTGTACGATAAATTATATAATACAGAACTGTAGTAACTTTCTGCATGTCCGTCTGCCAGCCAATCCATTGCTTTTCTTTGAACTGACCTTAGGCCTCAGTTGCAAGACTCGAGTGAACAGACTACAGTATAGGACATGGGGCCCACTAAGATTGATTAATACAAGGACCCATTAGGACTAAATAAAATATCAGAACTGATAACAATAATTTTCAGGTTTCAATGAATTTTAGGGTATAAACTAGAGACCTTAAAAGGTAACCCCATTTTTACAAGAGGTGTACAATAATTGATTCACAATTTGTCATATTTACAACCCAAAGGGTGTGTAGGGATGCAAACCCCAAGGGCTACACAGCACTTTCTCCTGTATTTGGACTATGGTTATGACACTGCATCAGTTGCATGCAGGAGTTCGTACAGAGGATGGGTCATTTCAATCACTAAAACTCAGATACCCTTATGATCGGAAGTCAAGGACGAAATAGTTTTTCATTAGCTTGTGGTATCTTTCTGTTTACAGTCAGTACACAACTCTGCACTTATTCATCATGTACATAAAATAAAACAGCAAAACTCAACAGTAAATTAGGTCAAACATTTACAAGCCTCCAGTACTCACATGATCAACCAAAAGTTAGTGATGTTTTATTATGAGCTCACTGCTCCATTTTCATACAGTCTAACTAACCTTTTGAGAATACTGTATTATGTAAACACAGAAGTACTAATCTGATTTCCCAGGGTGGAGAGAGTTGCTAAAACACCACAGGTCTCCCCAGATATTTGTAGTGTGATGGAACTGAAGTAAAACCTCCTCCAAAGGCCTTTAAGATTGACTAATAAGGCAGCTATGGCATGCATCTTGCAAATTATCCCTCGTCCCACAAAACTTATGGACCGAACACCTTAAAACTGGTATTGTGGTACTATAAACGGAGTTGATGGTGCAGCACCCCTCTCTTATTCTTTACACAGATCCATCAACATAAATAGGGACATAAGAGTAAATTTAAAATCACTTTTATGTGTATTCAATGCACACACACAACCATCCATGAGGAGGAGTGATGGTGTGATGCATAGTCATATTCTTCCTAATGGTCAATAGCATCATAAACAGCCTGTATGAATCCACTGCTGCATGACAGATTCCCCAAACAAAACTTACACTCTGCATCACAGTCAACTTTGCCGATGACAACCCGTCCATCATCTGGGAATGCTTCTCGAACTTTATCAGCAGCCTCATCCCAAGTAGGTGCTAGAATGTTACTGAAGCGACACCAATCTGCATAGAAGTTGATGAACACCAGCTCATTACCACCTGTTAAGACAAAATATTACATTAGAAAATAAACCTAACCGATGCAGTGTTTACCCCCTGCATCTATTAAAAAGCACACCCTTAAGATTATCCAAGTCAATTTACATGCCCACTACGGTACCCTTACACCCCTCACTCCCTTGTCGGCCAACACCATAAAAAGAAACATTCCTTCACAATTTCCTGATAATCTGATAAGTCTGGAATACATTATAACTGATTACTCACAGGCTAACAAGGACCATACAGAGATATCATTACCTCCAGTGAGCATTTATAGTTGAGTACATATCAAGGATTACAGTACTGAACATACAATAGCTACTTTTTTAAGAGTCACAGTATTACCAGTTAAATTCTCACAACTTTATAACCATTGAGTTGATTGACCAGTTTAGGCTCGTGTTACCAGTACAGAACACTTATGAACAACAATAGTGCAGTAATAATAATAACACAGTAATAATAATAACAATAATAATGAGCAGTGTACTTACCTATAATACTGTCAAAGTTGCTATTGTCTAACTGCAGAGCCCCTCCTTGTATTCTGGTAAACTGTAACACCAGCTGAAATCAAATTAATTATGACTTATTTTCTATTATATTTAGAGTATAGTACAGGTACAGTCCTGTTTAGTGTCACAAAACAATTAAATCTTTGTCAAACTGGATACCTCATGCCATAGCAACAACAATTATGGTACTGTATGTGCTTGTGTAAGTTAAGTTTCTCTTAAGGTGAGAGGCCTGACATATGTACGTAGTAGGTAACTTCAAACTTTATGTACTTATTACTGGGTATTTAATTCGTTTATAAAATAATAAAACACCATTAAAGCTAATAAAAAATGTGTGCAGTTAGTGTTGTCTATGTACCTATGACACAATATTGTACAGTAGTTGCAAAGGAAGTTTCATTAACATTTTTATCAATTTCACTAAGATTTTTCTTTGTATCATAGTGTTTTTTCATGTTGTTATTTTGACATAGTTAGTTTAAATTAAAACTTTGGGGCGCACCATGCCAGAAGTGGAAGGACCAGGGATACATAAGAATTAGATAGAATAATCGTCTTTCTCGTAAAACTCGGCTATAAACTTAAAATAATAGTAGGAGCACAAATAACAGATAACATCTCCTGAAAAATACTTAAAATCAATTAAATTCAACCAGAAAATGTAATGAGAAGAGTGAAATTCTTCCACCTGATTTCCTTCAGTCATAATAAGTTTTTCTTTTACAGATACTCTTCCTTAATTGACTGGAAAACCTGGGAGATTATCATTAATTTTATCACACTTGTACACTTAACTTGACTTTATTAACTAGTGATAACAGAAAGGAAATATTTTATAACATCATCACATAATTCCACATTAGTTCATCATTTATAGACAAATACAGATATACACAAACATTATATACAGTCAGTACAGGTTTATTAATAAAGGTATAGTCAGTTTAATGAAGGAAAGACATTAAGGTTTTACCCTGACTGATTAACTCACTCATACACCACATATAACCCACACCATCGACTTTAAGGAACCACTGTGAGTATATTTATAAGCAGTATGAGTCTTAGAGGTGAGTATTAACAGTAAAACATTAAAACACTCCTTAATGGTTGTTAGGCCACACGCCGCTTACCACCACACACTTATCATCACTACTACTTATCTATAACAGACTCATTAACATATGGTAGTTATAACGTTACAGTAATACATTAAAAACTCTTATCTTACCGTTACAAGAGAGAGAACCAATTGGAGTAATGTTAATTTTGTCATTTTTTACAAGAGAGAGAAAGGGACACGCAGAGTCTCGCCTCGACAACAGCTGTTCTCTGGGCTAAAATGGACGATGTTTGACAAGTACCGCGAACACGACAGTAAAGTTATTTATTACCTGAGTGACAATAATAATAATTACATGTATAAATTATCTTACCTAATCTACCTTATAGTTTTTCTGTTCTACAAAAATAGGTTTATATTCGGTTAAAGTTATAAATTTATGAAAAACCATAAATATGATCTAAAATTACTATTTTTATTTAGGCGACAATATATTACAAAATCTACCTTAAACAGAGCTAAGGTACCTAGTATCGTTAAGCTTAGTTTAGCTTGATTAGGTTAAGGTTTTAGTAGGTTAACATCACCTGTTATTAAAAAAAACACCACTAACATCACCTCAAAGCTATTTATTATTCAATAATAAAACCCAATCGAACCTTTCATAACCAAACCTGAACTAATATACGAGAGTTTTGTTTGTCTTTGATAACTTATGTTAGGTTAGGTTAGGTTAGGTTATGCTTCTTTCATTTAAAAATATATTAGGTGTTGTTCGTGGAATATATGTAACATTGGTTGACTCACTCTCTGCACAACACGTAGACTGCCTCCAGAGAACTTCCAACACTCGCTTGAAAATTTATTATTCTTCCTTATTATTTCACTTACCTACCTTTTTATGATTTAATATGTTTCATTAAATACATATAAATTACTTATATAGGTAATAAAGTTATTTAAATTCATAGACATCCTTTAATTTAGGTTATTTTGATATTTACTTCCAAGTCGGCATGTTGTTGTCTCCTGCTGTCAAACATTGTCAGGGTAACGGAGCTAAAACAAATAGAAAAATAATGAGAATTATTAGATAATTATTGTTGACGTCTATAGACTCAATAATTATAATTTTATTTTAAAATTTATATTATTTATTTAGAACTAACTTTCTCATCAACCAAGAATAGAGCTCTACATTACGTAACCCGTCCAGTATTTCCGGCATCAGATAATTACTACAATACTAAAATATGTTTATAAAACTTCTAAATGTGTTCACCATAACATGAACAATTCTGGCCAGACTGTTACTATATTAGAACTTAAAATGCCACATTTTGGAAACTGATAAAATTTGTAGAACCATTAAGATTGGTATCACAAGGACTTTATTATTTATTATAATCGAAAAAAAATATATATTTTGTCTCTTTATTTTTTCTTTTGTAAATCTGGACAGGATAATTTTTTATATAAAACCAGTTTTTGTTATTCATGTACAGTACAGACTAAGAAGATGTGTGCACATTGCAAGACAGCCAAGTACTGTACAATATCAGTCTTTGACAGTGTATATAAACAACATATGGAAAATCCCCTCGTCCCACTTATTCTTATGTTAGGATGAAAAAATAATATATAGAAAAATCTGGGAATTCTCTGCCCTTCCCGTCAAATTCTCATACTCAAACAATATATCTGGGCTGACTCAGACATTCCTACAACCCTCACTACAAGTTGACACATACACAGTTATTTCACTTCAGCACCAACCCGGGATCTCTTCTCCGTCTCAGTGAAAATTGCGTTTGAGGAAATGTTTCAGAGTTGATCACAACCGAAACAGTATGATAAAGACAGTCATATTTCATGTTTCCACTTATTATTTCTTGTTTGAATGTTCAACTTGTGCAATGAGTATAAAAATTTTGTAGGCAGAGCTGCAATGGGAGCTTCATGGAGTCCCCTTTGTGTGTTTTAATTAGGGCATCGTTGCAAACCCTTCAAAATGAGATATCTATGTCAAGTGGTTTTAAAAATATGGCTATTTTATCCTAATTGATTCTGCCGCCCACCAATTTGGACGCCACCTCGAATTCTGACGAAGGTTCCAGCTGGATTCTTGGGAACCTTTATAACATGTTGCTGGGGACCTATCCTGGAAAAAAATTCCCTGTTGGTGTTAATATCATAAAGTATTCACGTTTGTACATAAGTAGATTTTCGAGTTAATTGATTTATAACATGTGACATAATTTATTTAAGCTTGTATATAAGATTGAGTGTATTTATCATGCTTAGTTTCTATATTCCCCATTTTTTAACTATTACCGTTCATGACATACCGATTTTTAACTGTGACACACCGATTTAGAGTTCTGATACCCAATTTTGATTCCCGATACCCGATTTTGACTTCTGATATCCGATTTTGACTCCTGATACCCGATTTTGACTCCTGATACCCGATTTTGATCATCCTTTTATCCTCTTTTTTCCTCAACTTCATCTCTTCTGCTACCTTCCTCCCTTACAGCCATACACCATGCACCTGGTTGCCACAGTTGCCACAAAAACTCAGTTGAATGTGGCAGCTGTGGTCTGATAAAATCTGTTATCTCTCTCTATTTCTCCCAAGGGTGTGTACAGAATATATGCCCTTATTTTATCTTTCCCCGTGTGTGTGTGTGTTGGCTAGGGGTGCATGGGTGTATGTGTGTGTGTGTGGGTGTGTACATGTACAGGTGTTGAATCATTATACTCAACGCACCTGTACACAGTTGTTATCTGCCAGGCCTTACTTCTTGTTCCACCAATACTCTGTCAACAAGGTGGAACAAATCTCTACTTTACTCCATCTCTTAACTCTGTGCTCGTAGAGTGGTTGGTCATTAGATACACAGACAGATAGATATATTTAATTCTCCTAATGGCCACCCCAGCTAGAGGTGGCCATGCTGAGAGAAGGCCAATGGCCTGTATGGAATCCTTCTATTCTTCTTGGACGTCTTGTCAAGGGCTATTTTGAACCTCAGTACTGTTCCCGCCTCCACACCGTAAGCCGATAGACTGTGGCGTAGGTCTACCAGCCTCTGTGTGAAGAAGTACTTTCTTATATTCATCTTAAATGACATCTTAATGAGGTTGAAGTTGTATCCTCCCGTGTTAGTGACTTTACTTACTGATCTGCTTGTAACCGCTTGGTCGGTCGGTTACGTCTCTGTTACGCACTGTTGGCAAGTACTGGACATGTGTCAAAATTTGGCCTAGATTTACGTTTTCCAGCCCTTTAAACATTTTTAATGTCCTTATTGTGTCTTGTCTGAGGAGTTGTTAGTCCTAAGGCCCTCAGTCTGCTTGGATAATCAAGATGACATAGTTCAGGAATCACCTTAGTCGATCTGCGTTGCACCTTTTTCAGGGATGTTGTCCTTCTGAAGGTGAAGTCTCCATGTCCGTACCGTACACAGAAATCCAGATAGAGACAAACGAGAGACTCATACAGCTGAAGGATTATTTTATTTGCTTTGTATTTCACGGTATAATGTATAATTACTAAAGTTCGTTTGGCTAACTGCTGTTTCCACTTGTTGCGCTGGATTCAGTGATTAATTTGTCACGACGTCTAGATCTTATTCTTTATCGACAGCGTTCTAGAAAGTGTCATTCACAAAATAGCTATGATTACGGTTGCTGTATCCCACGTGCAGTCCCACACCCTCCAGGGCAGAGAAGCGTCCCGTGATGACTTGATTGGTAGATAAATATTAATTAAAATCGTAAGTGTGTGTGTGACAAGGTTAAGATACATAAAAATATATATAATTCCCATTTATATTATGTAGGTTTAGGCACCATCTTCGTGCTACAGTCACCACTTACTGTAGCACTGTACTGTAATTGTCTGTGTACATTGTTTGTATACCTGCACTGGAAAAGAAGAATTTGGAAGGCAGGGCGGGAGGGAGGTGGTGTACGGCAGGGAGACGTGGCACCGTAGCATAGAGGTGGCGATTAAAAGCTGAGAGTTCCTCTCCACACCACACATTATTTTTTTTATTATAATTATAAAGCTTACACTCCCTCCCTGACGAATTCTTTTGTCCACAACTGTACATTGTTTGTATACCTGCACTCTCTATGTACACACACACACACACACACAGTGCAAAGATTGACGATTAACCCACAAGTGATATACAAAAGTGACATTTCAACTCGAAAGAAAAAAAAAACTGTTAAGAGTGACAATCAGTGCTTAGCGGCCAATGTTGACCAACACTGGATGAGAAGCCAAGAAAGACTCCAAACTCCATCAGGAGAGAAATGAGGACTCCCTACTCCACCCAGGTGAGGAATCATGAATTCCTAACTACGTCACATGAGGAACAAGAACCATCTCCAACACCCTGTGTGAGCTGAAGGACCTACCCGGACCACGTGGTGGATGTGCTAAACATCTGCAGCTGCAGTGAGGGAGCGGCTTAGCACCCAGGTACGAGGGCCATCCAAATAGTGGGAAGAACTCTGTTGGCGCCAATATCAGGTCACAAGAATGTTTATAAGACCAGCTCCCACAGTACCAGTTCTGTAGTTAATCTATATGTTGACTCTATGTTTCTTATGTTTCTCTATTGTAAGCTTTTGTGACCCACTCCCCGATTCCACCATATGTAACTTATCATCTCTGTTCATTGTATATTTTCAGCTCTCGGGCTGCCATGTTATCTTAATAAACGGTTAATTATTACTATTATTATTATCATTATTACAGGTATTATTATTATTGTTGTTATCACACACACACACACACACACACTGCCTACCTGGGTCCGGTGCACAGCAGAGTTTCGGTTCGGTTGTGAGTAGCACCTGATAATAACCATGATAACTGCAGGTGCAACTCACAGTCAGAAACACCAACCGAACCTAAACTGCTGCACAATTGAACAGATATTTTTTGTGAGTATATTGTATACCTTCATTGTCTCTATACACGCTGAAGAACGCGAATTGATATAACGATTAAAGTTTCTGAAACTAAATCTAGGATGTGTTTACTTAGAACAGGTGTTTCTATAATAACATATACAGTAAATACACCACACCTGTGAAGCCTTACCGGTGTAACAGTTGTATTTACGAAGTGAACATGTGTTACCTTATTATAAATTGGCCACCCACGAAAGGTGACCACACCGAAGGGAGGAGACCATTGGCTTGTGAACAGATTGAAAGATATTCATAATGTAGAGACTAGTTT